CCTCCTCTTCCTCCTCTTCCTCCTTTCCCTCCTCGTCCTCCTCCTCCTCCATCCTCCTCCTCCTCCTCCTCCGCATCATCCCCGTCCTTCTCATCCTCCTCTTCACTTTTCTCCCCCTCCTGCTCCTCCTCCTTCTCCTCCATCCTCCATCCTCTGTCCTCCATCCTGCGTCCTCCATCCTCCTTCTCCTCCTCCTCCTCCTTTCCTCCTCCTCATCCTCCTCCTTCTCCTCCTTTTCCTCCTCCTCACCCCTGGTCTCCTTCTCTCGGTCTCCCTCTTTTCTTCCCCTTCCCTTCCATCCGTTCCTCTCGTCCTCCTCCTCCTCCTCCTTCTCCTTCTCCTCCTCTTCTTCCTCCTCCTCACCCCTGGTCTCCTTCTCTCGGTCTCCCTCTGTTCTTTCCTTTTCCCCTCCATCTTTTCCTCTCCTCCTCCTCCTCCTCCTCCTCCTCCTCCTCCTCCTCCTCCTCCTCCTCCTCCTCCTCTTCCTCCTCCTCCTCCTTCTCCGCCTCCTCCTCCTCCTCCTCCTCCTCCGCCTTCTCCGCCTCCTCCTCCTCTTCCTCCTGCTCATCCCGCCCCGCCGCCTGACGCCAGTGCTGTTTTTCTGACGCGGCACCCTGTGCCCTCGACCTCTTCCCAGGAGGGCCGCTTCTCCATCTCGGACCGCATCTTGATGGCCTCTGTAGGCCCCAGGCGGCGAGAAGCCAGCCGTGCCCCCTGCTCCCGACAAGCCAAAATCTGATACGCAAAAACGTGTTTTAATGATTTTGGGATCTGAGCGAGTGGGTACTTCTAAATCAGCCCCCACCCTGTCGAAACCCCGCAAATCGCCGCTCGAGGCCCTCTTGGGGCGCCCACCCCTCCCCACCGAGGCCTCGCTCACCTGGGGCTTCGGGGAGGGGGGCGTGCCCAGTCCGGTGAAGCTGGAATCGAATGAGGCCTGCGGGCCCGTGCCCTCAGAGTCTGAAACCAGGCGACGGCCCGAGCCTTCGTTTTTATCTTTCAGTCCTCTCTATCTCTCTCTCTCTCTCTCTCTCCTCCTCCTCTCCTCCTCCGCCGCCTCCGTCACCTTCTCCTCCTTCTCCTCCTCCTCCTCCTCCTACTTTTCCTGCTCCATCTCTCTCCCTCTCTCTCTCTCTGGAGCGAGCGCCGGTCCTGACAGCCGTCGGGCAGCGAGCGACTGATGGCTGGAGCGTTCCGCGGAGTGCCAGATGCACTACGTCGGCGGGCGAAAGTTGGCTCGCCCGCCTCCGAACGGTGCGGAAGGCAGGCCACGGATTCCCCCCCCCCCATGTGCGTAGCATAGAAAGAATTGCTCCCTCTCTAGGAAGAACGCCGCTGACTGCTCAGGAAGAGGCTCCCATAAGCAATCGTTGGAGTTTCCAAAGGGCGAGTGGCGCCTGGTCCAAGATTGTTCCAGCAGCTGGGCTCGATGCAAACACAACGATATGACCGGCGTGCCCAGGGCCGCGATCCCTTTCTTACAAACTACCAGGCGCTCCCGGGCGCTCCCAGGCGCCCCCAGGCGCTGCCGGGCGCTCCGGGGCGCTCCCGAGCGCTCCCATGGTGCTCCCAGGCGCTCCCGACCCTGCCGATGACTGCCTCAGAGTATCGGCTGCCGTCGCGGGGCCGAGCCGCCCGTCCGTCGCCGGCGGGCACGCACCGTAGAGGTGCACCTCACCAGTGCTGCCTGTCAGCCCACCGCCTGACCCCGATAGGCGCCACTCTGCTGCTTTGCATGGGACGCACAAAGACATACCAGTACTAGATGTTCTCCTTGGAGGCGCGCGTCCGACCCAAACATGCAATATACCCATCTTGTAATATTTCCCGAGCGGCGTGGCCAGAAAGCGCCCGCCACGACGCAGATACTATACGATTTCTCGGTGCACGCATCGCCCCCGGGGGGACGACGCACATATAGTATAGGTATGTTGGGGTGACGCCGATTGCAGGGCAGCGGCAAGCCGAGCAAGCCCAGGACGCGATAGGGCGGTTGTCTTAAACGTGTCCGTCTTGCTTCAAAGCCTGGACCATTTCCTGCGCAATCGTTCTGGCGTTTCCGGCACCTTTTTTTTACCGTTCTCGTTTCCTCTGGCTGGGGCCTGGCCCAGATGGCAACTTGTCGTTCACCTGATCCAGACCGTTTTCGAACGGGTTCTCAACGTCCAGGACGCTTGACTGTACCGCTGTTTTACACTTTCGGTGAAACGTTTCTCTTGCAGCTTTCATGATCAAGGGGCAGCTCCTGGAAACGGCTACAACTGCCCTGGCGTTTCCAGGGCCACTGAGGCGGTGGGCCTATCCGATGGCGAGCTTCTCGTTGGGAGGAATCCGGCGAACGGGTCCTACAGTCAACCATGACAGTAAGGATGTGCGATAAGGATGCAAGGGCCTTGGAGGTCCACTTCGAAGCTATTCAAGCGGGGCGCGGCCAGCGAAGGTGGCCAAGGTTGGACCGAGGCAAGGGTGCAATGGTACGCTTGGGAAGGTTGCCCGTCCTTACTGTGCGGGTTGACTGTTAATCTCATGCTCGCAAGGCGCAAGGCACCCCAGGAAGAGAGCCGAAGCAACCGCCTGACACAGAAGGACGCCTCAGAGAGAATTAGCCACTAGAGGCGGCATCGCTGGGGGCAGCAGGTACCCCCTCGGACTGCTCCACCACGGGAGGACCTTGGGACCCTCGAGGCAGGCGGCGATGAGAGTGCCTAACTCAATGGGCTGGCAGACATCATGGAAACGACGTTGTACTGGCGAGTCGTCTTCCAACCGATGGGTTCTCCTTGCGCTGGCCGCAACTTCGCTTTGCCTTGGCTGGACTCCACTGTGCTACGGTTGACCACGTTACAAGAATCCGAACAAGCAGCACTGCGTAGAAATCACCATTCGGAACTAAGCGAAGATGCCTTGGGTACAGCACCGGCCCAAGAAGTCTGCGCGGACCTCCGAAAGCTGAAGTTTATGCGAATTATGTGATGCTCTTTTAGATTCAGCCCAAGCGCCACCAAAGATCTAGACAAACGTACACCACAAATGCGCGCACCAAAATGCAGACAAAACTGCGCAAAAAAATGCTCAACCAAATTCGCAAAACAAAAATGTTGGACCACCTGCGCCCCACGCTGCTGACCTCGCTCTGAATATGCTTGCCGACCGTGTTTGCAGCATGGCCCAGCAGTCTCGACACTTTCCCCGGGACCCGGTTTTCATCCAATGTCGTTTCTGACAGTCCTGAAGGCCCAGGAAACGCCCGCAGAGGCAGAAAATAACAAAAAACCTTCCGCCGCGAGTTGTTTTCATGAATGGAGGGGGCCTTTGGCTCTGTGGCACGCGCTCCCTTTGGGAATACTACTCGGAGTCCATCTGGTCACGGTGACGCGGTGCGCCACCCCGCCCGTGCCCCTGCGCGGCTGTGCCCCCCCCCCCCCCCCCAGCAGAGACGGTCCAGCTCGATCTTTTGTGGGGGACTGTGGCCGCGCCAGGCCCCGATGACCTATGGCCGAGCCTCGAGCTGCGGCCACAGGTCCTCGACGTCCAGCGCTGTCCTCGAGACCCTGGCCTTGAAATTTTTCCGGCCGGGCACTTTGGCCCAATTTCGGTCCCCGGGGCCCTCACAGATCGATCCGGCTCGGAAAATGACGCAGGAATATGTTGCAATTTTGTTCGCAACGTCGGACCTCAGGGATGGACTGGGCGGCTGGGCCGCCGCCCAGTCCAGAAACTCGAAGCTCTGCGGAGCGTGATGCGCCGCTCTACAGGCTGGCACGCACACGAACGGGTCGTCGGCCAAGGATGCCCGCAACGACCCCGCATGCCTCCGAACTGAAGGCATCTGGCGCGTCAGCACCCACTCCCGCCTCCGCGGCCTCCTCAGCCTGTTGGCCCCCTCCACCCCCGTCCCGTTCCCGGGGGCTCCCGACAGGCAGTTGTCGTGGAAGGGAAAAACGAGCTTCGTCAGACGATAGTTCACATTTGCGGCTCTGAGGCTTCTCATGCTACCAATTTAAATGATATTGACTTGCTGCCGAAATCGATTTGCCTTGCTCTTTGTACTTGTAAGGTTTTCCCCTACGTGAGCCGTGTCATGCTCGCAGGGCGCGGGTGGCACTTCCTCTCCGCCAAAGGGGGTGCGTAACGGCCGCTCACAGGGCGTGGCAGCCGTGACGTTTCCTCAACACCACCGGGTGTGCGGAGGGGATGCGATCTCTGTCCGTGCCACGCTCGCAGGGCAGGAGTGGCACTTCTCTGCCAATAGAAAGGGTACGAAATATGTGCGATCTCTATCCGTGCCACGTTCGCAGGGCGCGGGCGGCAGGCAAACCATTTCCTCGCCACCAGACGGGGTGCGCAGGGTGCTGTGTATACAGATAGATGACGTATATATTCACATACATACATACATACATACATAGGTATATGTCCGCGTCATGCTCCCAGGGCGCAGAACTGATGGCACCTCCTTCCTACATGGGTGCGCATGGGGTGCGACCTCTATCCGCGCCACGCGCCAGGTCGCGGAAAGGGTGACACTTCCCTGCCACCCGTGGAGTTGCGCACGTGGTTCTCCACCAGAAGTGGTGCACAGGTGTGGCGGCCGCTAGGCGTTTCACCGTCCAGGGCATGGCAGGGGTGTCATTTCCCTCTTGAAGAGGTGTGCACGGGGTGCGGTCTCTTTGCTCCCAAGTCCAGGGCGTCGCAGGATGGGCACTTCCGTCTGCGCGTTCTCGAGGTGCGCTCATAAAATGCCGGCACGCCCCCCCCCCCCCCCCCCCAAAAAAAAATGAGCTAAATACATGGCCCGTTCTGGAAGCCCTGATCTCCAACAAAGAGAAACTCTTGAGGGACGATGCTTACTTCCGCCAACTTCCTTCTGCCAGCTTCCGCCGATGAATGACAGCTCCTTCGGTGCTCAAAGGCGACGCCCTTCATGGAGCGCTCCATTTGGGGCCCTTCAGGAGCTTAACGTTCTGCAGTTATCCTTCTTCGAGGACGGCCCCCGCGCGCGCATGGTTGGCGCAGCTGCAGAGTCTGGTCGGTCGCGTGCAGGTTCCGACATTATTTTGCCAGCGCCGCGCAGTCCGGCGCCGCTGTGCCAAGTCCCGCGGGCACCCGCGGCTCCACTACAGTGCACTGCACAGTCCTGCGAGGGGGGCAAGGATTGGCTGCGAGTCCAGGGGGGAAGCGAGAAGGGGCGGGCCTTCTCTGGAAAGTTTTCGGAGCCTTCCTCGAAGACGCAGGAAACCTCTCAGAAGGCGTGAGGACTTCTGAGAAGCCCCGCCGCCTTCTGACAAGGCCTTCTCCCTCGCACTTCCTCCCCTCGCTCACCGCCGAAAGGAAGAGACGAAGACGGGACGGGAGGATGATGGAGGAGCGGAGGGTGGCCAGTCGAGACGATCGCGGCCCTCGCTGGCGGTTTTCGCCCAGTGCGGGCCTCCTGGGACCCTGGAGACATGTCCAGAGACCGATATTGACGTGATTCACTGGGAGGGACGGGACGCAGATTCTGTGCGACGAAGGGGGTGCCTGCGCTCGCTGGGCCAAGGTCTGCTTGCATGGCAGCGGGGGCTACAGATGGAAAAGGGGGGGTCACAAATGGATGCAACGGTGGGTTATCTCGGCCTAACCTAGAATATGAATGTGTTGCAACTGCCGCGTAGCAACCGGGGGTGAAGATGCGGGCTAAGCGGGCCCCGCCCACTTCGCGTAAGGCACTTACAGCCCACTTGCTCTTGCGGCCATGGGCCGCGTAGGGCACTTACAGCCCACTTGCAAGCTAGCGTAGGACAAGGAGAACCAACCTCAGCAGCCACTCGCAACCGCTTATTCCCTGTGGCAACCCCCACGAGGATCCGAGCAGACCTCCTCAGGCCTCGAAGCTCGATCGATCAATCGACCGACGGCAATCGTCTGCTTAGAAAAGAGAAAACATAGCAATAAGTGTTCAAAGGTCCGCGCGGAATTCTTAGGTCGGTGCAACTGGCGGTGCTGAAGGCGCAACCAAGGGAGGGCCCAGCGCAAATCGACGAAATCGGCGCGGATCTCCAACTGCATTGTTTATGTAAACGTTTGCTCTTGGAGAGGCGGTCTGGTCGCCTCGATCGATCGATCGACCGACTGCGATCTGAGTGGCCTAGGCCACGGTGATCTTCGGAGCGCAGCTTGAAGGGCCGCAGGTGGGGTGGGTGGGAGGGGGGGCAAATGCAAGCGCGTAGGCCAGTGCTGGAGAGAACCCTGTGGAAGGTCACTCCTGCGAAGGGTCACTCTTGAGCGCCGGAAGCGGTTCTTGTCTTGACTGTGGCAAATTTACTTGCATGGGGGGGGGGGCGTGGCGAGGCCCGGCAAGAAATCTGGAGTGTTTTTTCGGCCCAGCGTTGTCGAGGTGGCGGATGCGGTGGAGGAGCATCATGCCATGCAAGTGCACCTGCCTGGGTCGAAATAACAACCATCTTACGCGTAGCGAACCGTCTGCCGTCGAGAAAGTCGGGCTCCACATTGAGCCGCATCGCCGATGCATCGGCGACGCGGTGCGATCCTCCAAGCCCATCTTCTCGGGCCCCCAGTGCTGGTCAGTCACACTTGCTCGGGGGGACAACAAAATAACAAAACCGACGCCGTACTCCCTGGCCCTCTCCAGGGGTTCCTTCTGACTAGCATTTCGAAGAGAACCGAGCCGTGGCGGCGAAGGCTCTCCAGGACGAGCAGCGCCATCGGTAATGCGACCAAGGGTCAACAAATCGGGCAAGGACGATTGAAACAACCTGATAAAAGCATTGCTGCTCGTCTGGGTCGACGGCTGCGGCCTGGCGGCCTCGAAGACGGCGACATCGACGACAACAGGAGGATACCTCCTCCGCCTCCTCCTCCTCTTCCTCCTCCTCCTACTCCTCCTCCACCTCCCCCTCCCCCTCCCTCTCCCCCTCCCCCTCCCCCTCCCCCTCCTCCTCCGCCTCCTCCTTCTCCTCCTCCTCTTCCTCCTCCTCTTCCTCCTCCTCTGCCTCCTCCGCCTCCTCCGCCTCCTCCGCCTCCTCCGCCTCCTCCGCCTCCTCCGCCTCCTCCACCACCTCCGCCTCCTCCTCCGCCTCCGCCTCCTCCGCCTCCTCCTCCGCCCTCCCCCCCTCCCCCTTCCCTCCCCTCCCTCCCCCTCCCCCTCCCCCTCCTCCTCCTCCTCCACAATTACTAAATATGAATACTACTCTCCCTCTTCCCCCGAAGGCGGCCTGAAAATATTCGACTCCCCCCCCGCGCACTGTTTTTTTACACACAGGATTCCCGGGAGTTGGGTTTTCGCCCGCGTTTTTTTTCACAATGCTGCTCTCGCTGAGGCGCCGGCCTCATTTCTGCTCCCGAATCGTTCCGAGTCGTGTTCCCGCTGCAGCGTGGGCCTCATTTTCGGATCGGTGTTTTGCCTCCGTCGTTCAGGATGGCGTTCTCGCCCCAGCGCGGGCCTCTTTCTCGCGCGCCCATCCGCCCGCCACCACCGCGCCGCACCACGCCCCGCCCCGCCGCACGCACACCCACCGCCACTTCCACCCACCAACGCACGCACGCACGCACGCACGCGCACCACCACCGCGCACCGCCACCACCACCGCACTACCCCACCCACCACCACCACGCTACACCGCGTCACACCACATCACACGCGCGCACACACACGCACGCACGCACGCACGCACGCACGCACGCTCGCACGCACGCAAACACGCACACACACACACACACACACACACAAAAAAAAAAGGCACACACACACACACGCACACACACACACCACCGCCACCACCACCACCGCCATCACGCCCGTACGCACCCGGCCCACCACCAAACCACCAAGACGCCACACCACGTCACACCACAGCACACGCGCACACACGCACACACACACACATACACACCACAACCACAACAACCACAACCACGCACACACGCACGCACGCACGCGCACCACCCCCACTACGCACACGCGCGCGGAGCCACAGGTCCGCTACGACACGCGTCCGCAGATAGAGACAAATCAGCGCCATGGTAAGGGATGGGAGGGAGGGGTAGGATGTCAGATGTTGACGCGAGCGCACCTAACTTGTCCCCCCCTCCCCCTCCCCCTTCCCCTCCCCCTCCCCCTCCCCCTCCTCCTCCTCCTCCTCCCCCCCCCCTCCTCCTCCTCCTTCTCTCCTCCTCCTCCTCCTCCTCCTCCCTCCTCCTCCTCCTCCTCTCCTCCTTATCCTCCTCCTCCTCCTCCTCCTCCTCGACCTCCTCCTCATCATCCTTCTCCTCCTCCCCTCCTCCTCCTCCTCCTCCTCCTCCTCCTCTTCCCCCTCTCCTCCTCCTCTCCCTCCTCCTCCTCCTCCTCCTCCTCCCTCCTCCCCTCCTCCTCCTCCTTCTCCTCCTCCTCTCCTCCTCCTCCTCCTCCTCCTCCTCCTCCTCCTCCTCCTCCTCCTCCTCTCCTCCCTCCTCCTCCTCACCGTCCTCCTCCTCCTTCTCCTCCTCCTCCCTCCTCCTCCTCCTCCTCCTCCTCCTCCTCTCCTCCCCCTCCTCCCCTCCTCCTCCTCTGTTTGATCGTCCACTTCCCAAGGGGGCGCTGCGACCCCCCCCCCGCCCTGGGCGCTTCTCAACCGCTCCGTCGCATGATCTGCTCCCCCTTGCTTGCGGCCGCAGGCCGTCTGCCGCCGAAAGAGCTGGATATATATATATATATAGAGAGAGAGGTAGAAACAGGCAGGCGGTCGAAGCCACTTCGCGGACGAGCTCTGCCATTGCCTCGGACTAAGCGATCCCCTGAAGTTCCTCTGTTTTGCGGAAGGAGCACGGCATAACAACATAAACATTCGGAGGTCCACGCGGATTTCCTGGATCGGCACTGGGCCCTCCTCCCCGGCGCGCGGAGCGCGCCAGGGGTGGCGCCGGAGGCGCCGCCAGGGTGGCCCCAGTGCAGATCCGAGAAGTCCGCGCAGAGCTCCATTGTCCGCTGTTGTCGCTACGGTGAGGGCATTTTGATAAGGAGCCCTTGGATCAGGAATCCAGGGTCTGGAAGCCAGATGAACTCCAATCGCGGAATGGCCATGGATGTCACCGCCGCCCTCATCAGGCAAGGAGTCCTCCGGGGCCCGAAGTCTCCGTGGCACATGCCTCAACCAACGCCCCCAACATACACGCCGGTCGGAAGAAATGGGTAAAACAATGAAGCAGGAACGCGAATCGAGTAGATTGGGTTCAAGACCTCCCAGAGAATACCACATCGCAGCAAACGCATATCGATTCTTGAAGTCGGAAATCGCTTGGAGTAGATTGGGATCTGGTAGTCCAATGAAACACCCACTTTCAACGACCGGCGTGTACTTTTTCCGTTGATACCGTCGCTTCTTCCTCGGCTGCTGGAGAGGGGGGGCCGCGCCCGGGGGGCGGGCGGCTCAGTCTGCGGCGACGAGCGCGGCGGCGCGCAGCACCAGCGCCAGGACGCCGGCGGCGCCGGCGGGCGGCCTGCTCGGGCAGCGCGCCCCGCCGCGGGGGAGGGATCGAATCGGATGGAGCTCGGGGGGCATGTAGTCAGATCGTCGACTCGTGACAAGCCTTAGGTCGGGCCTGTCTCCCTACAGGGGGATTTTGGGCGAACGATTGAGGATACTCAGAACACATCTTTAAAAATGCAAGAATATACACGAAGCATCGTCCCCGGACTATTTTTTTTGGACTGTTTCTGGATACCCCCCCCCTGTGGAGGGACAGGCCCGCCTTAAGGCAAGCCTGGGCCACCCCTGGCAGCTCCGGGCCAGCTCACAAGATAGGAAGGCACCAACTATACACCAACACCGATCCTGGCCAGGATCACCCTGGGCCCAGGATCGGTGTATACGCCCTCCTGCCTTGCGCAAGAAGGCATATACACCGATCCTGGGCCCAGGGTGATCCTGGGCCAGGATCGGTGTTGGTGTATAGTTGGTGCCCTCCGATCATAAGAGCAGCCTGCCCGCCACGACGCCCCGGGGGCCCGACGGGCGGAGGAAGCGGGCCGAGGCAGGGAGGGCTGCGGGCACCGGCCACTGCACCGACCTTGCAGGACGTGCTGCGGCGGACTTTCGCGTGAATCTCTGCCAACGCCGAGCCCCGAGACGGCGAGTGAAGACGGGATGACTGTCGCGTGGGTTGTGTGTTCAGTCTTCATCCCTGGCCGAACCATCCGCACAGAAGCCACCTCGAGATCCAGAACGAAACTCTCCGGGACACTCCGGGCCCATCCTATCGTTTTCCAAACGGAATCCGCTCTGCGAGGTTGGCGCCATGACACTGGCGCTGGCGTGCCTGCGCCCAGCCACGCGGCGCCGTGACAGGCGCGGCTCCCGACGGGGCCCTAGAACTGCCTCGCAGGCGAGGGACCCGGCCCCACCCCCCCGAGGGCGGGCACGCGCGCCAGGCGCTTGCACCTCCTCCTCCTGCCCTTCCCCCTCCCCCTCCCACTCCCCTCCCCTCCCCATCCCTCGCCTCCTCTTCCTCCTCCTCCCCCTCCTCCTCCTCCTGCCCGTTGCGCCCGTTGCCCAGGGTATCGGCCACGACGCGCCCAAATTGAGTGCGCCACGACCAGGCCCGACCATGGATCGACGTTCGAGGGCGGAGGGGGAGGAACGTTCGGAGGCAACTCCTGGGAAGTCTTTGTGGGAACGACAATGGCCTACGAAGTCCGATCAAGGGGCCAAGACGCTAGATTAGGCGACTAAACCAGATTACGCAGGATTAAAGGTGAACAAAACAGGATGATTCCTGATTAGGCAGGCTCATCACGGACGTACCAGCGCCGATGCTGAATTCAACCTCTCAAGGGTTGTATCCAAAGGAATGGAAGAAGCTCTGAAATCCTCCCGTTGTACCCACCAGAAGCACAATTCACCAGGAGCTCTGAGTCACATTATGAAAATCGGCGCGCCCGAGTTTACAACGCTGTGCTCAGCGACCGCTGAGCGCGGGAATCCCCAGGAGCGAGCTGTCAAATACTGGCGCAGCCTTCACAACTCGCCATCACAGATTCGCCCACGCTGGCTTATGTAGTGTATTAGCTGTTTCCCACCTGGCAAAGTAGGGTCGTTCGACCTTCAGAACAGAACTCCCGACCCGCTCACCCTGCTTATGTGGCCGCCGATCCCCAGGTCCACCCGAGACGTCCACGTACCCTCTTGAGCCGTCTCGGAACACTTTTGGGAGCATGTTAGGCCGTCTTGGAGCGATCTAGGCGGCCTCTGGAGGTTGAAGATGCGAGAACGCCATTGACCAAATATATGGGCTGTGAATATTTGAAGCCATCTCGCGGGAACTCTTGGCTCTCTCTTGGGGCTTCTTGGAACCACTTGCGCCGCCTCGAGGCCATCTTGGACCATCTTGGGACCCTCATTGGCTGTCCCGGGGCCTCTTGGATCCTGTTGAGCCGTCTTGTAAGCAACAGTTGACTGTCGTGAGCCTTCTTGGAGACAATCTTGGGGACATCTTTGGATATCTTGGGGCCCTCTTGGGCCTTCTCGCTGGCGTCCGCTGCGCCGTCTTCAGGCCTTCCAAGAGCGATGCCAAGATGAGTCTGACACCATCTCACTTGTTTGAGGATGTCCCTAACGCCATCGCTACTTTGGAATGCATGTTGGACCGTCTTGAGCCCACTTGGAGACCAGCTTGGGGCAACCTTGGCCATCCAGGAGCCATCTCGGTCCGTCGTGTTGACCTCTCTTGGGCCGTCTGGACGCCTTCGAAGAGAAATCGCAGTATGTCGACAGCACAATATTTTGAACATGCATCTAGCAGCATGTCCATTCTGGGCAAGGGCGACACAAAGGCGACGTCGACATCATCTCATCGAAAGTTCGGTCAAGAGCGATGTCGACACCACCTCATTTATGTGAAGACGTCCGTTCAGGGAATGCCATTTTGGGCGGACGTAGAGCGTTACAGCCGTCTTGTTGAGCTATGTTAGACCGTCTGGAGGCCCCCCAAGAGTTATCCTACGACGATGCTGGAAGCAGCTAATTTTGATGAGGATGTCCCAGCCGAAATCGCCATGTTGGCCATTAGATCCCTGGGGCCCCGCCTGCTAACCCACTCAAGCTCCCCAGGTGCCCGAGACGCACCCAAACCTTGGTTGTTCCCACGTGCGGCGACTATCCAAGGAAGTGTTCCTTACAAGAAGACGTGAAGAGATGCGCAACACTCTTGCCCACGCAAATGCCGACAGCTGCGCAGTTCGCAGCCCCCAAGGAGCTGCGAGGTCTCGGCTGGGTGCGCGTGGACCTCCACTCCGCTTGACCTTCCAAGAAGCCACGACAGTGGCGCCAATTCCGCAGGTCGCAATCCCACAGGGAGCTGCTATGTCCCGTCTGGGTCCGCGTCCTCCCCGATTCCATTGTGCCTCCCAGGAGCCCACGAAAGTGGCGACAACTGCGTAATTCGCAACCACCCAGGGAGCTGCGAGGTCTCGGCTGGGTCCGCGTACTCCCCGATTCCGCCGTGCCTCACAGGAAGGACCCCACGAAAGAAGCGACAGCTGCGCAGTTCTGTCCCTCAAGGAGCAGCGAGGTCTCGGCTGGGTCCTGGTACCCCCCTGCTCCGCCATGCTTCCCAGGAGCGCACGATAGTGGCAACAGCTGCGCATTCCGCCGCCACCCAGGAAGCAGCGAGGTCTCGGCTGGGTCCGCGTTCTCCCCGACTCCGCTGGACCTCCCAGGAGCGCACGAAAGTGGCGACAGCTGCGCAGTTTGCAGCATTCCAGGGGGCAGCGCAGGAGGAGGCAGGAGGAGGGGCGAGGAGAAGGTGGGAGAGGCGAAGAGGAGGTCGAGACCACAGTGCTCTCCAAAACGACGAGGGGAGGACCCAACACACAAAAAGGTTAAGACATATTTTTCGGGACTGATCAGCCTGCACGGGAGTGCCGCCGTGCCAGAATGATAACTAGCTCGGGCGTGCCCCCCTACAGGAGGATTTCGGGCGAATAATTGAAAATAATCACACATGTTCAAAAATACTCAATGTTAGTCCCCGACTATTGTTTGATTAGTTTTGAATATGCCTTCTGTAGAGTGATAGGCCCGACTTGAACTTACAACCACTGCTGGCCCGTCCTAGAAGTGCTGGTGGTCTTCGGCCCCACCGGGCGGCCAGAGGCCCACGTCACAAGCGCACGGAAGCAGAAGGAACTGCTGGGCGGAGGCTTCTGCAGCGGACGAGGGCAGAAGCTCACGTGTGAAATACGTTCAGGTACAGTGCGGGCGCGGCCACAAGAAACCCTCGCACGAAACTCAACCCCGAGAACCCGCGCGCGAGGTACACCTGAGGGGAAGCCGGAGCACCCTGCACGCAGCTGCTCCTTCAACGGCTGCGGGAAGTCACCGCGCAGCGCGAAGAAACCCAGGATACCCTGACGAAAAGCATCTGGTTTCTTGATGCGCGCCCCCAGCGTGCCGCGTCGACGTCTCGGGGCCTTCCAGGAGCGACCCCAACACGATGTTGAACATCTGGTGTCCCTGGCGAGACCACCATGCTGGCCCCAAGGAGGGTGCATTCCGCGAAGCCTTGCTGCTCTCACGGTAAACTGCGACGCCGTTCGGCCCCGCGGCGTCCGCACGATCGGCTCGCCACGGAGCCTTGCGGCCCCAGTGGCCAGTCGCGGAGCCTTCCGGCCTCGCGTCGGGGCCTTTGCCTCTCCACCCCTGCGGCGCCAAAGATGCCCGAGAGGCCCCAAAGTCGCTGAGAGGGGAGGGCCTCCTGGGCAGTCTTGAAGCGATGTGGGGACCTCTGGGAGCGCTCTTGGGCGAACTCGGGAGATTATCGTGGCCATCCTAGGGCATGTGACACCCTCTCCCAGTTTGTTAGAGAACCCCCTCTCGCGAGGACCATCCCGAACAGATGGACGTCTTGGGACCCTCTTAGACCTCGCTTCGGCGGTCTTGGAGACATCTACAGCCATCGTAGGGGCCGCCTGGGTAGTCTTGGGGACCTCGTACATGCTCTTGGACTATCTTGAAAGCGCTGGGGTCTCTTGGGGGCAATCTTGGACGCTCGCTTGGAAATCAGGGCGTGTGAGATTAACGAGGAACTTGCGAAGGAGCTTACGCGGTGTTTGCACATAACGTGCCTAATTAATCCCACCAGCCCTCAGGGCGTAGGTGGTTTAACAAGCTATGTCTTATCTCCCCCTCCTTCCCCTGCTCGGGGGAGGGGGTATCCCTTCCCCATACCCCCTCGTCTGGCCCTGGACGGCGGAGGGGCGGGTAGTTGGATTTCCAAGATGGGCCCTAGATGGCTCCAAAAGGGCCCTCGGCAGCCCAAGACGACCTCCAAGATGGCTCAAGATAGCCGAAGGTGGTTCAATGCAGCCTCCGAAGTACCTCCAGGAGACCCCAGGACAGTCCCAAGACGGTTCCAAGTGCCCTTCGACCATTTCTGCCCCCCCCCACCCCCACGAAGCCAAACTCCATCAAACACCTAAGGAAAATCGATGTTGCTTGCCTTTTCGTTCTTTCGCTTGCGATGGACTCTTCAGGCCAAGATGGCTCAATAGAGCCCCAAGAGGGGCCCACGAGAGCCCCAAGAGGGGCCCAAGAGCGCCCTTAGAGGGCACCAAGAGCGCCCTAGAGCGCTCCAAGAGCGGACCAAGAGGGCCCCAAGACGCCTTTGTTGAGTCTCCGATGGGGGGCACCTGAGGTGGGTATCCCCACCTGGGGGATCGGCGCAAGCCACTTGAACAAAGAGAAGGAGACGGTGGAGGATGAGAAAGGAGAGAGGGTGCTGATACTACGCATGGAGACAAGGATGATGAGAATACGGGCGAAACTAGCAAAGGTACAGAAAAGGACGAGGAGGGTGGGCGAGGAGAAGGAGGAGGAGCAGAAGAAGGAGGAGCAGGATGAGCGGGCAGAGGGAAGAGGAAGGCGGCCCGATTGCGGGCCGAGGACAGCCGCAAGGGTGCAGCGGGCCTGTGTGCCAGCGAGGCAGCGGCATTGTACGAGGAGGCCTGCTGAATGCGCCAGCTGAAGCTCTTTGGCGACTGCGGGGCGGGTGCGCGGCCACCCTCCCTGTTCACTTTCCGCCGAGGCTGTTCTGCCCCCCCCCCCCCTCCTCCTCCTTCCGCAGCGCCTCGTGTTTCTCCTCCCACTCCCTCCTCCTCCTTCTCCTCCTCCTCCTCCTCATCCACCTCCTCGTTCTCCTCCTCCTCCTCCTCATCCTCCTCCTCTTTCTCCTCCTCCTCCTCCCTCATCCTCCTCCTCCCACTCCCCTCCCCCTCCTCATCCTCCATCCCTTTTCCTTATAAAGAATTCCTCCCTATCGTGCTCCCAGGCGTGTCGACAGGGCGGGCCGGGCGTTTCGCCTGATACTTCCTCATCAAGTCTGGTGCTGAACCTTGACATCTGCAGTAGTTTCTCGAGATGGAGGGCGGGCCGTTTTCAAAACGAGTTCTCGCCTCAGCGCCGCGCACATTCGCCCTACAAGTTCGCACCAGGTTCTTCAAGGATGGACGGCAGGTCGCATTCGAAATGTGGCTCTCGCCTTAGCGCCGCACAGGCTCGTCTTCAAAATGCGCAACGGCTTTTGGGATGGCGGGCGGGTCTATTTCCAAAAGTGGCGATCGCCCTGGCGCCACGCGAAGTCGTCTTAACAGCTTGCAGCAGTTACAAGGATGGACGGCGGGTCGTCTTCAAACTATAGTTCTCGCCTTCGCGCCACGCGGATTCGGCCGAGGAGCTTGAAGAAGCGATTTCAAGGATGGGGGGCTGGTCGTTGTCCACATGTGCATCTCGCCTTGGCGTCCCGATAAGTATTTTGACAACGTTGCAGCACTTTCAAGGGTGGAGGGTAAATCGTGTTCAACATGTTGTTCTCGCCCGCAAACTCGTCTTGAAAGTTGGCAACCGTTTCAAGGATGCAGGACAGGCCATTTTCAACATGCGGCCCTCGCTTTATTTTCGCGCTCATTCGCTTCAAAAGCTTGCAGCAACTTGTTTGTATGGTTGAAGATCCAGGAACGGTGTTCTGGCGCGATGTGGGGTGCTCAGGGCGCAGCACGTTGATTCGCTGTGTTGAAGTCCGAGGAGCGGTGTCCTTGCACGATGTATGGTTGCAAGGGCCCACCAAACATTCACGCTGATTCGCGGCGTTGAAATCAGAGGAATGGTGTTTTGACACACGATCGACCAGTCCCAAACAATTAACTTTCAATGGGGCACGTCCTGCAATGAAAGCCGCGTATGAGACTCATTGTGAGATCGATCGCGGGATCGATAGTGATAGGGAGGGTGAGATCGATTGTAAGGTCGTTTGTGGAATCATTCGTGCGATCGATCGTGAGATCGAAATATACAGATAGCGAGATCGGTTGAGTGAGACCACCTTCCAGCTTCAATATCCTCATACGCAGCCCTCATCATCCTCCTCTTCCTCCTCCTCATCCTCCTCCCCCTGCTTTGACCTCGCGCGCGTCCTCTCCCTCCTCCTCCTCATCAAGCTCCTCCTCCTCCTCGTTATCCTCCTCCGCGCCCTCGGGAACAGAAGGTGGGCAGGCACGTCGTCCGCGAGACCAACGTTCGTCGGAAGCGAGATGCAGCAGTTGTCGACGTTGTCGGCAGTGCAGTCGGCCGTCATCTGGCGGGTCGATCCAACACAAAACACATAGAAGACAACACATCGGCATGAAAATAAACCCGGGAGGGATTGAGGGAGGGAGGGAGGGACGTATGCTTGGGGGGCTTGGGAGAGGGAAGAGGAGGGGGAGGCGGGAGGGAGGAGGGATCCGAATCCGAATCCAACTCCTGGAGTTCTGAGCTGCTCCGTCCGCCTTCCCTGGACGACTGCTGCCGATGCTACTGAAACTCTGAGGGGTCTTGTAGTCGGGGTCGGTTGGAGAGGAAACGCGAGGGGACACAAGACCCTCCTGAGAGCCACATTGCCATGGAAATGTAGAAGGCATGGGTCGCGAAACGCAAGACACAAGGGTACCCTTGATTTGGCTCGGCGGCGAGAGATGGGGGGCAATGAGAAGGAGAAGGCCTTCTCAGAAGCCAGCGGGACATCTCAGAAGCCCTCGCGCCTTCTGAGAAGTGTTCTGTGTCTTCGGGGAAGGCTTTGTGAACACTTCTCAGAAGGCTGGGGGGAGTCCGAGCCTTCTGAGAAGGCCCGCCACTTCTCAGTTACCCCCCCTCAGGCTCGTCGCCGACTGGCAGGGGCGACCTACTGCAGTCGGCCCGTATATCGCAAGGATGCGCGATACGGATGCCCGGGCCCTGGACGCCCATTTCGAAGCTTTTCGGTCGGGGCCCGGCCAACGAAAGCGGTCAAGCATGGACCGAGGAGGCAAGGATGCAAGGGTACCCTAGGGTTAGGTCGGGCATGTCTCCCTACAGGCGGATTCTGGACGAAACATAAGAAATGGTAAACCAAAATTCGCCCGAATATCAAAACATGGTAAAGCAAATCGTCCCCTGATTATGTTTTGACTATCTTAACAATCTTAATCCTGTAGAGGGACAGGCCCGACTCAGCCCTGGGGAAGATTGCCATGTGCAACGTGCTGGCGCCCTCGGCTCGCGGCCGCGCAGGCCCTGCTCAAGAGCACCTCCGCGGGGACTGGTTATTGCACCCGCCTTGCAGACGTGCTGCAGCGGATTTGGGCGTGGACTTCTGCGTGGATGCTTGCCCGAAGCGGCGAGCGAAACACGAAGTGAACTTCGCGCTTCCTTCCTGGCCAACAAAAAAATCCGCACGAAATGCACTTCGAGATCCAAAACGAAAGTCTCCAGGACAATCCAGGCCCATCCCATCGTTTTCCGAGCGAAATCCGCTCTGCGACGTTGGCGCCGTGAGACTGGGGTTAGGTCGGGCCTGTCCCCTTACAAGGGGATTTTGGGCGAAAAATAGAGATACTGAAAACAAACTCCCCAAATGCTCGAAAATAGTAGACAAATAGTCCCCATACTATTTTTGACTATTTTTGAATATTCCCCCGGTAGAGGGACAGGCCCGACTTAAGACTGGGGGCCTCCGAGCCGCCGAGGGACCCATGCCCTTGGCTCTTCCCCGACCCCATCCTCTGAGAAGAGCAACGCTGTGACGATGGAACCACGACGCAGCCGAAGTACACATGTTTGATTTATGATTCTTCGAAAGTTCTTTGATTTTTTGGGGGGGCCAGGATCCTTTCATTTCTAAGTGTTCTATCCTGGGCCTCTTCCTGGCCACCAGGGGGCCAGGAACAATCAGAAAGGAGCACAAGTAGAAATGAACACGATTAGAAATGAACGACGTGTACGCATCATCCCGCAATGGCGGACAAGAGCGAAGGGGCGGGCGCAGGGTGGGTCGAGGGTGTATCGCGGGTGGGTCGCGGGTTGGGTCGTGGGGTGGGTCGCGGGGTGGGTCGCGGGCGGTCGCGGGGGGGTCGCGGGGGCGACGACAACACGCAACAGCAAACAACAACACACAAGCACAATGTAGGCCAAGGGATTCCACGTAAGACCGCTCGGGCTCCTCACTCTCACGTTTTCTTCCCAACTGAGTGCCCAACTGAGTGCTGCCTGAGTCAGCCTGGGCGCCCGAGAGGCGATCGTCCCACTCTCCGCCGGAGCTTGTCACGATACGGGCTGATGCGGCCACGGTTCCGCGGCAGCAACCAACAGGCTGACGCGACACTATCGTCCAAAGGACAGCGTGTTTGAGCCATAAAGGCTTGAGGGCTAGGGCCGCCTCTGCAGAATTGTGGCCCTCACTCTCCACCTTCCACACCTTCCGACCATCGGGTGGCTGATTTGGTGATCGTCTTGATGGGGCAGAAAACTACATGGACATGAACCTTCGGAATTCTGCGTTCTCGCTGTGCTGCCTCTTGCAAGCAGTGCCCATGTGGGGACCTTGATCGCACGCGGAGGAAAAGAAACCAACACAAATATTGAATCGACGCTGGACCCCGTAGATGGGCTGCCAGCGGGGTCCAGCGCCGATCCACGGAATCCACGCGGAGCTCCAGAAGTTTATGCCAATACAGTTGTCTGCCCCTCGAGGCGATCACAAAATCAGCCACCTGCTGGTCGGAAGGTGTGGAAGGTGGAGAGTCAAGAGGTGGGACCAAACCCCCAGGACCCCAGACAGATACGGCAAATGCTCGGGCAGCCGTCTTGAGTTTCAACGTATCCTGATGCCGGACCGTGCTGCCTTATATGGGAGGAAGAGCGCCGCCGCGAAGCAGTGCAGACCTTCTCGCCCTCGCGCAGAGGGCCGTCTACTCCCTCAACGCGGTGCTGGCATGAGTTGCACCTGGGTGCCTCTGGGAAGGTGTTCTTTGCAGACGGCAAGTCCGCAAGAAGGGAGGAGGAGGGAGGGAGAGAGGGCGGGCGGAGGAATGCATAAGGGAGGGGGGCGGAGCAGGAAAACGAGGAAAGGGAGGGGAAGGAGGAGGAGGAGGAGAAGCAGGAGGAAGCGCCTGAGGGAAGAAACAGGGAGGTGAAGGTGAGAGGTGGGAGGGAAAAGGGAGGAGCGAACGGAGGATGAGGAGAAGAAAGAGGAGGAGGAGGAGGAGGAGGAGGAGGAGGAGGAGGAGGAGGAGGAGGAGGAGGAGGAGGAGGAAAAAAAGCAGGAGGAGGAGGAAAAGCAGCAGCAGCTGCAGCAGGAAGGAGATATGGACAAAGCAGAAGGGAGGGGGGAGGAGGAGAAGAAGCAGCAGCATGATGATGATGAGGGGGAGGTGGAGGAGGAGGAGGAAAAGGAAGAACAATGTGGGGAGGAGGAGGAGGAGGAGGAGGACAAGGAGGAGGAGGAGGAGGACGAAGACGAGGGAGAGGAGAAGGAAAAAGAGGAGAAGGAGGAGGAGGATAAGGAAAACAAGGACAAAGGAGGGGGGAGGAGGAGGAGGTGGAAGAGGAGGAGAAGGAGGAAAACAAATACGTTTTTTTCATTCAGCGCCGTGGGCCCCTATGTGTGTCTTGTCTTTGTGAGAAGGTGCTCCTGCGAAACTTCTGCCGGGGAGTCGTGATTCATCACTCCAATATACAAATGAATTTGAAGAAAAGGCGGCGTGCGGTGCCTCCGACCGAAGCGACCAGCGAAGAACGCAGGGCGATGGGGCCGCACCTGAGGCCGACAGTGGCTCACGGCTGGCCCCGCCGACCGACTCGAGAGTTACGACCGACTGGGAACGATATTCGTGCCTCGTGCGTTTCAACATCGAGCGCAACCTATCACTATGTATCAGAGTGTTCCAGCGGGGGCTGTCCCGCTCGCTCCCAAGAGAGATCAACAAAGAGCCTCAGATGTCGTGGGTACCCTGGGGGCTTCCGCGAATGTCGCGGGGTGCACCGAAATCCCCTGGGTCCCCAGCGCACTGGAGGAGGACGAGGAAGAGGCGAGGACCGAGGAGCCACAGTGAGACGCGGCGCGACGCTGGTCAGGAAGAGCCCCAGGGGGCCTCGAGGTCGAGGGAGGGGAGGAGAAATAATTATTCTCAGGCGAAACACTTTGCACAACGGCGGGGGTGCCGACAGGCAGAGCTACTGCAAGGTTGCCTGCAGCAGCAGGCTCACGTAGCAGCTCAGGTGCAGCAGCAGCCTCACAAACCCGCTAAGGTACAGCAGCAGGCTCACTTACCAGTTCAGGTACATCAGTAGCAGGCTCACGTACACAATCAGGTACATCAGCAGGCTCACGAAAACCCATGCCCCAGTAACGTTTGGGGTCGTCAGGAAAATCCATGCCCAAGTAACGTTCGGGGTCGTCAGCTGGCACCCCTAACTTGTCGGGCTCTCACGACACCAGCTGCGCGACGGACTCCTGAAGCTCGCGCTCCATGAACGACGCTGGAGCCTTGCCCTGCTTGCGCTCCATCCCCACCTGAACGCAGGCCGCGATCGCCGTCTGGCGCCAGCGATCGTCTCGCAACACGAAGTTGATCCGCTGTTTCTCTTTGTCGTACGTCTTGCCCAGACGGCACATTCGTGTCATCTCCATCTTGTCCTCCACATCGTGGTCGTCGAGCCACCCCATCATCTCGTTGAGGTGCGTCCCGTTCTGTGCTCCCACAGCCTCGCCGCGCCCGTGTAGGCCCGCGACCATGACGGCGAACGCCCGCGCGCAGGGCGCTCCGCGAGGGCGACCTTTCCCGTCCTCCTTCACCGCATCCGCGCAGTTGCGTGTCTGTTCCGCCATCTTCAGAACCTCGACCCAGTCCGACGGCAGAGAAAAGTGTCGAATAGGCATCCTCCGAGTTCCCGCGTGCCCTGGGCCACCCTCAAGAGCTGCTTGATCATCGCCGGCAGGAACCGACGAAGCCCTTGATCGCTGACGCCATTGAGCATCTTGTCCCTGCCTCCATCCTGGCGTGGCTTGACGCGGCGTGGGTCTGGAGCGCCATCCTTCTCGTCGTCGACGGCAACCCGCAGCGCGGGCATGGCGAAAAGGGCGACGCTCCACAAGGCGCGGAGCGGGCCGCGGCAAGTGTTCTTCACGAGCGTGCGTTCAGTATTAAGGTAAGCTGTCAAACTCGAGCCCACATATGTTACATATAATATCCGAAGGAACATGCGCCTTCCATGCTTGATGGCCCCCACGAGGCCGACATCTCCCAAGACCCCACGAAGCTTGCGGGCGCTGCTTTGCTAAATCTTTTGCAGCAAACAGACTCAAACAGACTGCCACGGTCAAGGCGCTGCTTCGCAAGCGCGCAGCATTTAAGCGGGCACAGAACGCCGTGAGACCAACCGCGGGCATTCGTCATACGCGCCACCAGCTTCTTCGAGGAGTCAAAGCACAGGCCGCAAACGTCGCCCTGCGCGTCCAGCAAGTCGCGCACGAACTCCCCCTCGGGCTCCTCCACCTCCACTGCTTTGGGCGCAAGTTTGTCCCACGGCTGGTCCTCCTCCATGAGTGGCGCCTCCAGCAGCTTCGCATCCACTTTCAGGAAAGCTTGGGTAACCTCCTCGCAACTCCATAAGTCCTGCCAAGCCCTGCCCACCAACGCCCGCTCTTCAAAGACATCCTCTGTGCCGCTGATGCCGCCCAGAAGCACGAGGTCGCGCGCGAACTGCCCGGCGAAAGGACCGGCGCTCACCGCCAGCTTCCCGTCGACGTCGATCGACGAGGGCTCGTCCTCCAAGCGCCCCCAAAGAGCTGCGATAACCTGTTGATGAGCCAGAGGGTGTCGAACCATGTCTTGCAATCGCCGCATTGTTTGCACAGCCAAAGCCGCCCTCGCAGGAACAACTCCCCATATTTTCATAAGTTGTTTGTTCGTGAGAACTGTCACGTGCGTGTCATGTGCCACCTGCGCCCCACCTTCCATGACTCGTAGCTTCTTGCAGATCTGAACGCCCAGGCGATGAAGCTCCGGCTCCGCGAGGGCGCAGCTGCGCATGCCAGAGAGAGAGAGAGAGAGAGAGAGAGAGAGAGAGAGAGAGAGAGAGAGAGAGAGAGAGAGAGAGAGAGAGAGAGAGAGAGAGAGAGAGCGCCCCCCACACTCTTGCCCAAGAAGAGCTGTCGTCGTAATTTGTGAGGACCTTTGGCAAACCAGAACCTACCCATGTCAGCCCATGCTTTTTTAAGCGGTAGCCGACCTCGACGTTTGCATTGTCATTCCATACATACCTGCCACCTAGATGCCGTGCATGTTGTAGTATATTCCCAGACCCTGGCCTGAGTTGTGCTTTGAATTTCAAGTTCTCAGCCGGCTTGAGCTGAGTGACCATCTCGCGCTTCTGCATGTTCAGCTGGGAGCCCCCCTTCTCAAGTTCCGTGGTGAGCAAATCCTGGCTTTCTTCGACGATCGCGCGTGCGCCAGTAGCCAGACCAGACAATCTAACGCGACGCCTCTCCAAGTCATCGGCAAAATGAACAGCGGCGCGCGGGGCGGGTAGCTCCCGGAATGGTGCCCTGAACAGCAGTAGGTTGTCCTGAGCAGCACGCTCTGCGCACCATTGTTGCACGGGCCCTTTAAAATGCAACGGCAAACTCTCTGTGCGCCTCGCAAGTTCCCATGGGGCCACCGCGGCCGAGGGCTAAATGCAAGGCCTCGCTACGCGCCTTAATTTCCACTATGCGATGATGGATTCGATCGTGCATGAGGGCCCATTCCACCGAGTCCGCGAGCTCCTCGACGGCCTCCTCAAGCCACTCCATTGGCGTGCAACCGAATGCGTTCGACATGTCCAACAACCCTGAAATGCTGCGAAGGCCTTTCTGTTTGAGAATACGCCCCACACACCTCGTGAGCATCATGGCGCATTCTCGCCTGCGGTGCGCCGGGTAGCCGCGACTCACCGGGTCGAGTTTCATTTCGTACTCACGACAACTTGGCTTTTTGAAAGGACCTCTAAAGAAGAATTCCCTGAATGTGCAGACCAGGTGAAAGAGCCTCTTCCATCTAAACCTCTGAATCCGTTATGTTTGCCCAGTGCAACGCCAAACGACCAGCGCGCAGCTGCAGGAGCGCGATCAGCACGACGAGTGCGAAGCAACACCTCTTGCACTTCCATGCGGCAGCTGCGGCAAGACTGCGCCGCAATTTCAATGCGGTTGCCCCAGTCTACATGGATGTCGCCTCGCAGTAGTGCAGTGTCCAGGATCGATGCAACAAAGTGGGACTTCGACTGGAATGCTCCTTTGTACTGATCCTCTGCGCTTTCCACTCTTCCTCGTGGCCCAGATCGCGCGACGTAAATCGAAGTTCAGCGAGTTCCTCAAGGTAGCCGCTCCTTTCTCCGAGATCAGCGGCAGTGGTACCTCGACGGTCGAGAAGCTCAGCTCGGTCTACTCGCGCAGCAGGCATACCTCCCTCCGCGCTCGGTTTCGCCATGTACGCCTCGACTGTAGACGCCAGCGGTCGTGATTCAGGCGTTGTCAGATACTGCCGTCGCCTGGTACCACGAGCTCGTTCTGCCAAGGGAGGTGCAATCCGATGCATCTCAAAAGTGTGCCCCAACTTCTCAGCCCTGGCTAAGTCCGACTCCAACGACATGCGACGCTCTGCTCGCCTTCGACGTGCCCATTGTCTAAGCTGCTTGGTGAAACGCTTTATGGCTTCCAACTGCTCGTCGTCGCTGGTGCAATCTGAATCTCTCGAGCCCAATTCTGCCACTCGCTCTCGCTTTTCAGCACGAAGCACCACCAGCCGTCGCCTCTCAACTTGTAGCCGTGCCTTTGCTGCGTCATGTCTCTCTGGTGGGTGCTTCCGAAAATGTTGTTGACCAGCCCCCTGCATAAGCTGCATCACCAGACACCAATGTTCGTCGGCTCGCCAATCTTCTCGAAGGGATGTGGACTTATTCTCGTGATGGGTGAAAGGGTCATCAAGCTGTAGTAAGAACGTGTCGCGACCTTTCCCCGTTTGCAGCGCTTCCGCTAACTTTGAAGATCCCGAGTTATCAACTTCTTGTCGGCAGAATCTGAAGCTCCATCTTGCATTTCCAATAGATATGTATCTGTATAAATCCGAGTACGAGCAGAAACGGTAGATGATCGCGCGGACGACGACCAGGAATGAGTTGTAGCCGTCCCCCGTGGTAGTAGCTCACCTTGCAGTCGAGGACGTTCCCCATCGCAGGCCCTGGAATGAACCAGTGGTCAATCGTAGAACTCGCCCCATCGGTACCGAAAAAAGTGGGCCCACCCTCGCGATACCGTGTACTAGGTGAGCATCAGCTTCTAGTCTGGCACAGCTGCTCCGCTAAGTCGCCCGACAAATTCTGCTTTGCCCGGTAGTGTTCTCCAGCATGTTCCTCTGCCACAGGAGCTCCATCGCTTCTCTCGCCGAAGCCGCTGTTCACATCCATCCCCACAGCAGGAAGAGAGCGTGCACGCGTGCCCTCACGATGCTATCAATCCATTGGAGTGTCGCTCCCACCGCTGCTTCGTAAACCGCAATCTTCTTGCCCGTGGCACCTGTGGGCGGTGGGTAGCCGACAATCAGAGTCACGTCGAACTTGCCACTCTTCACCCGCACCGCGCCTGCTCTGCCTTGAATAGCCTCCGGCGGCGTGAAGATGTCCACCACGTCTTTGAATCTGAACTGTCTGCCCAAGATGACTGTGCAGCCCGCTGAACGATTCGTCCACGCCGCCGAGCTTCTCCACTTGATACGGTCGACCTGCCCAGCTCCGTATGCGACTGCCTGGAAGGAGGACCGCATCTGCTCCGAGCTCGTGTGCCACTTCGCGGCACCTGCCCGCGGAGATCAGCGACAGCGGTTTATACAGAAAGAGTCGAATAGGTCTCCGCACGCGCATTCTCCAGCCATGCACCGCGAGCCCTCGAGACGGCTGCGCTCAGCTGGGCGCCTCGAGGGAGGAACTGCGCCCGAAATGATGATGATGATGATGATGATGATGATGATGATGATGATGATGATGCTGATGATGATGGTGGTGGTGATGATGATGCTAATGATGCTGATGATGGTGATGATGGTGATGGTGATGGTGATGGTGATGGTGATGATGATGATGATGATGATGATGATGATGATGATGATGATGATGATGATGATGATGATGATGATGATGATGATGATTAGGAGGAGGAGGAGGAGGAGCAGGAGGAGAAGGAGGAGTACAAGGAGGAGGGTAAGGAGGGGGAGGAGAAGGAGGAGGAGAAGGGGGAGGAAGAGGATGAGGAGGAGGAGGAGGAAGAGCAATGAGGGAGGAGGAGGAGGAGGAGGAGGAGGAGGAGGAGGAGGAGGAGGAGGGAGGGTAGGGAGCAGGGAGGAGGAAAGGAGAGAGGGAGCGAGGGGGCACCCTGGGTGGGCAGAGATGGAGTGGGACATCGGCCTCCGCTCCGTCCAGATCTACCCCGACCTCAGGTCGCCGAAGGCTGGGCATTAGCCGAGCCGCCGGAGAGGAAACTGACCAGTCGGGGGGCAAGGAGGGCCCTCGGCGAGTGGAGCTCTTGCATGACTTTTCGACCGAAGCCCTGCCATCTCAGGACGCAGGTGCGGGGCTCGGCGTCAGAAGGAGCGGGGGCAATCCTGCTTAGCCTCGACGAGCTCAGCTGGCCCGACCCCACCCTCCAACAACGGGAGGGGGGAGGAGGGGAGGAGGGGCGTAGGCAAGGAGGACGAGCCGAGTGGGAAAGGGTAAATTCTGGGAGGCGGTGGAGGGCGGGGCTGATCGGGCGATCGAGGAGGAGAGAGGAGGGCCCAGTCCATCCCTAGCCCAAGCCAGCCCACCACGGCGGCCAGAAGCGACTGGGAGGGAGGAAGGGAGGGAGGGAGGGAAAGAAAAGGAAAAGAGATCGCCAACTTCCCAGGGCTGGTCGGAGCCTCCGTGAACTCCCGGGGACCTCCGCAGATCGCCAGAATCCAGGAAGGGCCCACGCGGGCCTGCAGGGACAACCACGCAGGCAATGTCCATCCACGGAGCACCCGAGGGCGGAAACAGAAGAAAGACAACAGACGGACAGACGCAGAACAACGCACCACCGAAGCGCCGCGCGGAATTCTCGGGCCGGCGCGCGGGGGGCGCCATGGGGTCCTGCGCCGACCAAAGAAGCTCGCGCGGACCTCCGGAGGCTTACACTCCTGCCCCTGGCGGACTCCTGCTGGCAAACGCGGACGGTTGCCGAAAACCTCCCACGGCCAGGCCGTGCCGGCGGCAGGGCAGCGTCTCCTCCGGAACACGTGGTCTGAAAACGGCCCGCTCCTGAACGGGCACGGCGCGCCTGATCCGTCCGCCACGAGACCCCCGCCAAGAGAGAGGGAGGGAGGGGAGCGAGGAGGGAGGAGGGAGGGAGGGCGGGAGGGAGGGACAGGGGGAGGCATGGTTTGGGGGAAGGAGGGGAGGAGAGCGAGGGGAGGGGGAGGGAGGAAGGGCAGGGCCGCTGCGCGGTCCTGGTAGGTCTCCACGCGGCCGCCCTCGTCGCAGAAGTCGTCGCCGGGGTAGTCCTGGCGGGCAGGCCGCGCGCCGCGCAGTGGGGGGGCCCCTGCGCGGCTCTTCTCCCCCGCGCCCGCCCTCCGGCGCCTGCATCCGGCTGCAGCTCCTTCTGCTCCCTCTGCTGCTATTCCTCCTGTCGCTGTCGCTGTCGGCATCTGCGTCCATCCATGGGCGCTGCCCCCCCCCCCCCCCAAAAAAAAAAACACCCACCCACCCCGGGGCGATCGCCTCTGGGGGGCATGATCGGACTAGAAGCAGCTCGAGAAGAGGGAGACGACGCGTGAACTGCTGCTACTGCTGCTGCTGCTTCTGCTGCTGCTGCTGCTGCTTGTGCTGCTCTCCTCCTCCTCCTCCTCCTCCTCCTCCTCCTCCTCCTCCTCCTCCTCCTCCTCCTCCTCCTCCTCCTCCTCCTCCTCCTCCTCCTCCTCCTCCTCCTCCTCCTCCTCCCCCCTCCAAGAATGGTGTGCACCGCGCGCGTGAATGTCCATCACCCATCTCCCGAACCAAGCCTCCTTTCCCTATCCCCCTCCTCCTCTGCGTCCTCGTTTATCCTCCTATATTCCTCCTCCTCTCCCCGCCTCTTCCTCCTCCTTTTTCCTCCTCTTCCTCTTCATCCTCCTCTCATGCTCCTTCTTCCTCCTCTTCCGTCTCCCGAACCGCGCCTCCCCCTCCTCCTCTTTCCCTATCCCCCTCATCCCCCCCTTCCTCCTCCTCCCTCCTCCTCCTCCTCCTCCTCCTCCTCCTCCTCCTCTCCTCCTCCTCCTCCTCCTCCTCCTCCGCTTCCGCCTCCTCCTCCTCCTCCTCTCCTCCTCCTCCTCCTCCTCCTCCTCCTCCTCTCCCTCCTCCTCCCCCTCCTCCTCTGCATCCTCCTTCATCCTCCTGTCTTCCTTATGCTCCTCCTTCGGCCCATCGTTCACATCTCCGCCTCCTTGTCCACTGCCTCCCGCCGCCCCCTGACTACTCATCCCGATCTTCCTCCCAGTCCTCCTCGTTATGATCTTCCTCCTCGTCCTCCTCGTCCCATTTCTCCTCCTCATCCTCCTCATCGTCCTCCTCCTCCTCCGTCTCTTTCCACTCCCCGCTGATAGTATCCCGGGATCCCCAGGTCCAGAATCTCCCGAAGGCAGACAAGATGCCCAAGACAATTGATCGACGTCCCACTCCTCGCTCGGAGCGCCCACGATCGACCTGGACATTCCAGGGAGGGTGAGGCGCAGGGGCAGGGACGCGCACGCACTCCATCTCGCCCCCCTTCCACGCGGGTCAACAGCAGCGCGGCCTGGCAGGGTCATCTCGACGGCCCTGCTCCTCACCTGTCCACACTCCTCGAAACGCATCGGCTGCGCCAACGTGCGCCACGACGCAACGATAGCATCGGGCCATACTGGATCGTCCACAGACAGGAGTCGTTCGAGCCAGCCAGACGAAGACGCCCTCGCGAACCAAGAGCTCTACGAGGTACGGCCGCAGCCGCTGCAGCCTCAGCCGCAGCCGCAGCCACAGCCGCAGCCGCTGCAGCTGCAGCCACAGCCGCAGTCACAGCCAGCGGCACCGCAGCCGCAACGAGGAGCCGCCGCAGCCGCAGCCGCAGCCGCTGCCCTGTTCCAGAGCGTTCGGAAACGCTCTCGGAGCGTTCCGGAACGCTCCGAGAAGGCTGCGACGCCCGATGCATCCTTCAGAGCCGCCGGATCTCAGATATTCCCGATTTTGTCCTCGCCTGGACTTGTCCTCGCTCTGGCTTCGCCTTAACGCTCCTCCTCCTCCTCCTCCTCCTCCTCCTCCTCCTCCTCCTCCTCCTCCCTCCTCCCTCCTCCCTCCTCCCTCCTCCCTCCTCCCTCCTCCCTCCCTCGTCCGTAGCCATTTTGGCTCAAGACCGAGGGGGCCGAGCTGTCTTACGATGTTCCTGGGGTGCATGGCGCCGTCTTTCAGCCGCCCCGGTACGAGAGGTTTGGGTGCCGTACCAGGTACGGCGACCTCTCCAGGGGCGGCAGCCACGCGCGCTGGCCCGCGCCCCAGTCCCGCGCGATCCGCGCCTGGGCGGCCCGCGGCTGGCCGCGCACGCTCGCGCAGCCCTCCGCCTGGCCCGCTTGCTGGGCCCGCTGGCGTTGGACCTCCCAGGCGCGGGCGCGCCGAGCCCGCGTGGCATCGGCGAGCGCGCCTGAGACGTGCACAGTCGCGCACGCTGCTGCGGGTCGCGGCCGCCGCGCGCCTCCTTGGTGCCCACCACAGTACCATGGGCAAGGGAGGCAGCGGCAACGGCCGCACGGGCGCGACGGGCGGCACCGCCCCCCCGCCGTGGCAGGGCGCGCCGCCGCCCCCACCGCCAGGCTGGTGGTGCGACGACTGTGGTGGCTTCAACGGCCCACAGGAAAGGCTATGCAGGTGCTGCTACCCAGGCCCTTCGGGCCCAGTCGGAGGAGGCGGGCATGGAGGCCCACTGCAGCAGCGGCAGCAGCAGCAGCAGCAGCAGCAGCAAAAGCATCATCCCCGCCGACGGAGCTCGACATCACCAGGGACGCCAACCCGCCGACGCTCCGTCTCCCGCCGCCGCAGACGTGAGCGCGAGAGGCGAGAGGAGCGTCCGCGGTCGGGCTCGCGTGTACGCTTCGCGGATGAGCCCGAGCCCGACCCCGATGAGCCCGAGCCCGACCCCGACGGCAATGGCGTCTCGGATGCCGACGAGGAGGTGCGCAGCCCAGCGCTCGGGATCCTCCCCGCGCTGCCGCAGGATGCGAGGCAGCACCCAGCGTGGGTTGACCCTCCCAGCGACGAGCGCGCCTTGGCGGCGCACGGGCGGGCATTACGGCAGATTGCAGCTTCGACAGGGAAGCGCCTTCAAGCTTCCATCGACCTCGGGGCATCCGAGAAGATCATCACAAGCCAGAAGCTGCGCCAGGTGAGCGCTGTGACCGCCAACGAGCCTACGTCGCCAAGGCCCTTGGCAAGCTCGAGCGTGCCCGTGAGGCGGTCGACAAGGCACAGGAACGACTACAGGAGGCCGAGTCGAAGTGCACGCAGCGCGAGATGGAGCATGACAGAGCCAAGATGCTGCTGGACCAGCTCGAGGCGATGCAGGCAGGCCATGCGGCTGGAGGTGCAGCCGGTGACGTGGACATGGGCGCGTACGTGGAGGGCACGCGGACGCCAGAGGCTGGAGGCGCGACGCCTCAGACGCCTCAGGGCATGCCTGTGCAGCTGGCGGCCATCGCGGAGCTCCAGAGCGGCCAGGCGACGCTCACGGCCCAGCTCAGCAGCCTGACGGCAATGCTGACGACGCTGCAGACGGCGATGGCGGCAGCAAGGACCCCAGCAGCTGCCGCCGAGGTCCCAGTCCCACCTGAAGGCGGCGGCCCGCAGGTCAGGCCCTTCGCTGGCCAGCCTCAGCGACTGGGCCGCATGCCGACGGCCGAGGAGCTCGCTGCTGCCGCACCCGCCTCCGAGGCCGCGGTAGCGAGCCCAGTCGACGGAGCAGCTGACCCTGCAGCTGCCGCCGGCCCCGCGCCGCCCGTGCCCGCGGCAGCTGACGGTGCACCAGCGGAGCCTGCAGAGGCCGACGGCGAGGACCTCGCAGCGGTGCGTGCTCGTGCCGCCACGGCACGCCGCGCCAAGCGCGAGCAGGAGCGTGCAAGGCGCCCGCCGGGCCAGCCGCTGCTCGTGGACGCCATAGCCAGGCAGCAGCAGCTGGGCGGGCATCGAGGCCGTGGCAGCATCCCGGCCCCAGCTGGACGTGCAGACATCGCAGCCGAGTTCGGCGACCATGAGACGGAAGCGGCGGCGAGGCGGACGCGGCACAGCCGCGACCGCAGCCCCCGCAGGCCCGACGGTTTCGATATGGTCGGCGGCGCTGGTGCAGAATCGACGGGAGAATCGACACTGGGGTGATGCAGCAGGGCAGGCGAGCTGCCGGGAGTGAGATGCCTGAGCCATCTCATAGCTCGCCTGTGGCTGCCAGCGCAGCCGACTTAGTGTCAGAACCCCTCGATCGGATGGAGTCCGATGCGCCTCCCCCCTTCGCTCCAGGCCGCCTTCGCCCTCCCTCCTTTGCCTACTCCTGTCCAGCTCACGGATCCAGCGTGCTGAGGCCAGAGATAGACGCAAGGCGTGCCTTGCCGTACGCATAGCTCCATGGACGTTGCAGCCAATTTTCGGCAGCAGCATCTTGGACTAAGTAGAAGGATGGGTGGAGGTTTGTCGGAGGGTCAGGTGGGTTCACGATTACTCTCTCCCCGCCAGCCGCCCTTTCCCCTGCCGCACTGTTGTCTGCTGACATGAAGTTATATACGTGGTGTTGACCCTACCACCAGATATGCCAAGTACATCAGAGGCGGCTGATGTTAAGCATGCCTCCGTAGCTGGTACTAGGGATGTAGCAGGTACAGCGGATTCAGGTCCAGGCCCCTGGATTTGTTCACGGAACTCTCTACTCAGATTGTGGGAACCATCTTGGGAATTTCGATAGGGCGCTGAAGCTTCTATGCTGCTTACCACGGTCGTGTCCTGCCGATGCGCTTTTCTATGGACGACGCAGCCAAAGCTTGGCAGCGGCATCTTTCGCCAGTAGAAGGTTGGAAGGAGTTTCTGGTTCAGGATGGGTGTAGTTTGTGGAGGGGAGGGATTACGAGCGAGGAAGCGACCCGCTCCTTTTTATCGCTCTCTCGCTCTCTCTCCGCCAGCCGCCCCGCCCCTCGCCGCTCCGCACATCATTGTATCCACCCCGCCTGCCCCTCGTGCTGATTGATCAGTCAGATAGCTACGACGTGCCTGGGTGCGTGTCAGGTCCAGGTGGCCATGGTAAGCAGGCAACCAGGGCCTACGGGGCAGCTCCGTATCCCCCCCCCGCCCGCGAGGTACAGCGAACGGCTCGCCAGCCTGCTAGCGAGCATGCCCTATCTTTCTTGTTGCATGCTACCAGCCTCTCTTTCTTTCGAAGGGATGGATGCCTGGCGGGTCAGTCGGGTCGTGGAGCAGGATCGGACAGTCAGCGTGCGCACTCTCTTGCACACAAGTCAGCGCCATTTTGGCAGCTTATCTCGATGTGATTTCTTGAACAGGGAACACGCGACACAAAGCCTACAGGACCACCGTCTCCCTTTGCGCAGTCTGCCGCCTTGCCCGTCCCAGTCCCCATTCCTGGCGCAGACCACGATTTCAGTCGCTGCCAAGCGAGCCTGCACGCCTTTCGCCCTCTCGCACGGGTCTAGCCACACGGCTCTCAGCGAACGCTACACTCCTGCGTGTCTTAGACCGCGGTGCGTCTCGTGCATATGGGTTGGAGTGGTGGGCGGGATTACTTGTCAGAGGTGGGGAGGATCGGGATGGAGGAGTTTCTCGGCGCGGCCCGTACACTCTCGCGAGCACTGCTCGATTGCAGAGCCGGTGTGTCTTGCAGACGAGGACCGGCGAGCGAGAAAGAAGAGGGATTAGGGCCCAGGTCTGCGTTCCAGCCTTACCCACTCCTCGTCTTCCTCTTTAGCACTTTTCCTCCTCCTCCTGCCCCTACTCCACAGTGCCCAGGCCATTGCTGCAAGCCCCTTTAGCGTTTGCCGGCCAAGCTGAATATTGTTGACGGTGGGGGTTCAGGATGGATAGTAGGTGCGAAGTTTCCTCCTGCGAGTGCCGTGCGATGGATCTTCCTCCTCGGCCGACGGCCGCCTGACGGCCACCTGTATCGGCATAGAGGTTCCACATGGTGTTCCCACTGCGGTACCGCCATGCATCATAGATGCAAAGCTGAGTCGTTGCCATTCGTCGGCAACCTCGAGCAGGGAATGTGGTCTGCGTCCCAGCCTTCCTCCTTCCCGCTTTACGTAGTTCATTCCTTCCCTCCCTCTGCCCCTCCGCCCGAATGCCCTGGACGGGCACAGCAAGCCGCTGTCGCAGCTTTCGCGTTTGCCGCCCAGTTGCCCAGCTGAAGGGTGGGGGATATTGCGTGGAGGTGGGAGGATTATGGTGAGGTGGGTTTGGTGTACTGGTACTGTATACTGCAAACCTTAGGTGCCCGTGCGATCGCACTATTTCAGTTGCATCGCTAGCCGCAGCGCCACCGTAACTCGACAGGCTAGTTGCCTCAACGAGCAGGCAATCCAAAATCCTCCTCCCTCCTCCCTCCTCCCTCCTTCTTCTCCTCCTCCTCTTCCTCCTCCTCCTCCTCCTCGGGGCGTCCATCTGCGTGATGGTGGTGGCCCCCGAGTTGCCGACGAACCTCTGGGTGCCGTTCCAATATCGGAGGCACTCGCCCTGCACCGGCCACCTGCGGGGATCTTCTGCGGGGAAGCAGGGGGAAGGAGGATGTGGAGGAGGAGGAGGAGGAGGAGGAGGAGGAGGAGGAGAAGGAGACCCAAACCAGCTGGAGGTTGGAGGTGCCACCACATTCAGCATGCATCGAACATCAGAAACAAATCAGTTAACCATGGTCCAGGAGATCAGCCTCCTCGCGCTTTCTCCTACTGAGGACCCGCTGCCCAAGCGTTTCAGCCTGGGCGCGAGAGGAGAGCCCGAATAGAGCAAGGCCTCGGATGAGGACGACTCCGACTCGCTTAAGAGCAGGGTCGGGTCCAAGCTCGGGCACAAGTCCGAGGCCAAGCTTCGAGGCCAGGAAAGTGCGCGAGAGAAAGCGAACGCACCACGCTGACTCGACACACCCTGTGGGACGGGTGCCAGGGGATCAAGACCCCAGACAATCCGACGCGAGAGCACCTTGACACCATGAGCTCCCGGGATGGTCGATGAACCACCAAGTGGTGCAAAAGACCACGGGGCCTATGAGAGCCCCAGCTGATGAGGCCACTGGGGCACTGGGGTTTCGATGCATGAATGGCCTCTGGACTTCCAGGGTCTCAGGAGGGCCCATGGCCCTTCCCCACGAGGTGGTGGGGGCGATATGACAGGGCAAGACTTACAATATGCCTTACCGCCCTCCGCTGCCACCGCGGCCCCGCCCTGGGTATCGCCAGCGGCCTGCGCCGCACCACCAGCCGTCAAGATCCCAACTCCGACGACGGACGACGCTCCCGCCCCCCCGTCACGGCAACTATGAATCCGACGTCCGGCGGCAGTTCAAAGGTGCCGAGGTCGACATCGCGAAACCAATCTGATGGAACATGGTCGAAAAACCAGAATCCGCGATCATGGCTTCCTGACGGGCCGAAAAGCGGACCTCCTGCCCAGCTGTCTCATCGCAGCCTGTGATGACGAGACGATCTGCGAAATCCCTGCAAGAAAACTCGGTCCCAAGGCGCACATACACGTCGGTAGCTCTGTTGCCGAGCCACTGGGCCCGGGGCAGGCGGCCCTCGATCATGTCCGTCTCTGTACAGTGGGACGGTATCTTCCACGCAGTGCAGTCATCGAGCTCGTCGTGGACCTGGGCCCACCAGATGGGCCCTCGCATTATCGGGCCCAGCGACAGACCTGGGATCCCGCGCGCAATCAGCGGTGCCACCACAATCAATATGGAGACAAGCCCCTGGGAAGCGAACGGCATTGAGGCACAGCTGGGGAAACGCATAGTTTCCGCCGTCCCTCGCGGCTTGGAGGGGCGGGGTGCCTCCGCTATGGGCACCACCACCCGAATGTACGACAAGACGATTCCCTCCCCTTCCGTCACGACCACCGCTCACCCCGCCACTCCCAGTGATCGAAACTTGCCATCAAAGACCGATCCATCTGTGTGAACGTGCATGCCAACGCTTACCATCAGGCCCTCCGCTGGCCAATTCAATCGATGAATCTAACAAGAAGACGGGTCGGGGGACTTGCGCTTGAAACAGGCAGCCGGGTCTGGGAAAATCGTCCTGGAGAAAAGGTCCTCGGTACAACCCGAAAGCGAAGACAACAACGTGGCCGGCCAACGAACTTCACACGAGAGCTCCTCGCGTCTCCAAACCGAATGGACGGGGCAATCGAAACGCCAATGGAAGAGGGTCCCGAACCTTCCGCAACGGAGGAGAAAGGGGCGGATATCTTGGCACTTCTCGGCAACACACTGCTGGCACCAATACCTGTTAGCTAGAAGGCCCCTGAACACGCTGGAATGATGTGCCGTTCAGCTGCCAGAGACCTTGGCTGCAATCAGGTCCTGGGCAGGGCGGGAGCAGATCGGGCCAGCCCATTCACCCACGAACGACGACTGACGACACTGCTAATCGGCCACGAGCGCATCCCAGCGCGCCTGCCCTGACATGGACTCGAAGAAAGCGGGCGAGATTCGGCCGATCGGCCAGGAGACCCGTTGTGGCCCACCAGGGACTCGGCATCGAGGTCGAGGTTCCAGCCAATCCTGTCCAGCGTAAGAAGCAAGGCGTTACGGCGCTCCAGGGTCTCGCTTTCCCGAGGGTCTCCCGGGCGTCTTCCAGGGGCCGACGCGAAGACAGGGCAGGAGACCGAGCGGTGCCACCAGACCGACACAGAGGTCTTCACAGCCGCCGCCGTGAGGTTCAGAAAAGGGATCGCTCGCCCAGGAGCTGCGGAACGGCAGAGAAAAGCCGAGCTATGAGCCAGGCTCCCAGGGACCGTAATTGCGGGCTGCTGCAACCCTCAGCCTGGAGGGTTTCTCCGAAGGGCTTTTCTCCCTCCTCCTCCTCCTCCTCCTCCTCCTCCTCTCCTCCTCCTCCTCCTCCTCCTCTCCTCCTCCTCCTCTCCTCCTCCTCCTCCTCCTCCTCCTCCTCTCTCCTCCTCCTCCTCCTCCTCCTCCTCCTCCTCCTCCTCCTCCCTCCTCCTCCTCCTCCTCCTCCTCCTCTCCTCCTCCTCCTCCTCCTCCTCCTCCTCCTCCTCCTCCTCCTCCTCCTCTCCTCCTCCTCCTCCTCCTCCTCCTCCTCCTCCTCCTCCTCCTCCTCCTCCTCCTCCTCTCCTCCTCCTCCTCCTCCTCCTCCTCCTCCTCCTCCTCTCTCCCCCTCCTCCTCCTCCTCCTCCTCCTCCTCTCTCCCCCTCCTCCTCTTTTTCTGGGGTCGTCAAGTTACTCACGCTGTGCGTGCTGAACCAAATTGTGCTCGACACGCCAGCCTGTCGGCCGGTGAACTTCGTCGACGGCATCAAACTCCACGCGGTAGGGGGGCGTGCGCACCGTGGCGACCCAGTTAGTCAAGGCAATGAATTTGGTTTGGGCTGCAATGCAGCAGCTCGAATCGCCAGTCAACACGTCCAAAACATGCTTTATGGCTCGTTCAACAAACCCCCCACAGGCCGAGAGAGAAAGAGAGAGAGAGAGTGAGGGGGGAGGATGAGGAGGATGCGGAGGAGGAAGACTAGAGAGAGTCCACCTAAGAGGGGGGATGAAGAGGATGAGGAGGATGCTGAGGAGGAGGAGGAAGAAGATGAGGAGGAGGAGGAAGAGAGAGTCTGATGATGATGATGATGATGATGAGGATGAGGAGACGAGCGTAGAGGGAGTCCCAGGGTCGATCCACCCGCCTAGGAGCCCCTCGGCACCTGGCGCTTCTCAACGCCCGTGGCGGAGGAAGACGAGGCGAGCGGACGCGCCTCGAGCGCAGGCGAGCGGGGCGCGCCTGCTGTTGTAGCTGGTGCACACGTGGTCGACGATGCCGTCGAAGTGCCGAGATTCGTTTCAATCAGAGAGCTTATTTCAATCTGCACAGGGGGCGCAGCGGTCTTTATATTCGGAGGACAGGGAGCAGCAGCAGGAGGGATCGAAGCAAAGGAGGAGGGAAGGAAGGACAGCGACGGGCAGGCGTGCACACTGTTATCGGCGCACACGCTCACGCCGTCCTGTCCGCTGACCCCTGTTACGGGTGGAAGGCCACTCCACAGGTCGGGCCGACCAGCGTTGGAACACTCACGCGAATCCCAAGAGGCGCAGACCCCAAACAGGCCAGCACGGGGAAACGCGGCGGCTGCACGAGCAGGAGGCGGCGGAGCACGCGGGGTGCGAGCACTGTTTGGAAGCTCCCCGCAGAAGGGCCCTCCAGGCCGAAACGCTGGGCTCACAGGAGCGCTAGCAAGGCTACCGAGGCTCGGGAGGCTGGGACCCACACCACCAGCAGCCACAAGCTCAACGGGTCTTGCGACCAGTCCAGAGGCACAGGCATCGTCGGGGTTTCGAGCGGGTACCTCAGTACGAGTGGATAGAGGCGAGCAGCCTGCAGCATAGAGGTAAGGTACGATCACAGACAGGGCCGCTCCAGGGCCAGAGACGACCGCCGAACCCGAAGTTGAAGCCGTACCCGAAGCACACAAGGCCGAGCTCGAAGTGTCTGCAGGGAGGACGCGCCCAGAACCAGCTCGAGACACCAGCTCACAATTCACTCCTGAGCCCTTATTTCCATCAGAGGCGGTCGACCCCCGTGCAAGAGACGTGATCTCACAACTTACTCCTGAGCCCATATTTACATCAGAGGCGGTCGACCTCCGAACTCGAGACGCAAGCTCGCAACTTACTCCAGAGCCGTTATTTCCATCAGAGGCGGTCGACCTCCGCGATCTAACGCCAGTGGCCGCAGGGCTCGAGGAGCACCCTGCAGCAGAAACCTGTAAGAGGAAAGAGGCAGGGTCGTCGTCTCCAACTCCGTCGGCGTCATCACCATCTTCAGAATCCATTGCTGAGACAAGTGAAGCAAGGTAGCGGACCGATCCGTTGGCAGAGACGGTGGGCAGGACCTCGCCTCCATCTCTGTCCACAAGGAAGTCGCGTACACGTTGTGGCGCAGCCGGTCCCATGTATTGCCTCATCTCTCTGCGTATCTCACGAAGTGCCTGGTAATGTCGATCAGCCGCCTCCTCCCATCGTTCGTGTCGAGTCAAGGCGTGGCGAGGGTCATTCAGCCACCGAAGGTATGCCACCATGTTGAGGCGCCCCTCAAGAGAAGTGTCCCAGGCAATCGTGCAAATATGACGAGCGAGTTCGTCGAGTGTGCCACCCCAACCAGAAGAATCCACCCAATCCAACGCATCTAATTTGGCGCGCACGTACGGGATGCACCACATCAACCAGTCAGCACGGCCACTCTCGGGGTCATCCAGGCGCAAGACCCAGCGCGTAGCCCTCGATGCAATACCTTCGGCAAAGACAGCTGGTGGTGCATGCTCCGGAGGGGAAGAATGCGGATGGCCGGCAAAATTCAGAACAGGAGTACCAGGTGACGGCGTCAACATCGGAGGGGTGGCATCGCTAGGGCACATCAACTGTTCAGGAAGAGCAGGGTCCTCTCGAACAGGGAGCCCACCAGCACGAAGGCGTTCGACACGCTTGATGGTCGCTCGATATTCACGCTCGAGCCGTGCCACATCCACCTCACATGTGGTTGGGACAGTCAGCGTCGCTGCACGGACCGTGGAGAGCGCCACGGTGGCGGTGAGCGGCCACGAGAACATGGATGCCGCAGGCTGCGGCGAGGTTGCCGCGGAAACGGGCGTCCGCACTTTCGCGACCTGCCCTGAGGGCAGGGCCTCGCACTGAGCCAAAGCGCCAGCAGACAAGGGCACAGGGGACTCTGGCTGGAGAGCAGGTTGGCCGTCTTCATCTGAGCCCGTGGGAGAATCCGAAAGAGCACCACCGCGCACCGAATAACTATGCCTCACATCGTCGTCAGACGGAGTGGGTGGGAACAGGCCAGGGATAGGGGCCGCGGCGTCGGAGCTCAAACTGGAGGTGGACGAGGAAGTGAGCACATCCCACTGAGGCTGCCTGCGGCGGATCGCCTGAACATCGGGAGGAGGTTCCCACCGTTTCAACTTGTCTGAAGGTCTGGCCAGACGAGAGGTGCGGACGGCGGCCTCAACATAACCGCGTAGCTGACGAGGAGTCGACACGAGCGCACCCTGCCGAGCATGGTTGAAGACCTGGTAATAGACATAGAGAGCCTCGAAGTGGTCAGGGTGGGGATGGGTAAGGCCAAGACGCTGAGCCAGGGGACGAGGCAGGGCACGTTGTAGTCCCTTGCTGACTGCCTGGTACAATTTAGGGCAGCGGAGATAATGCTGCTGCCGATCTGGGCCAGGGCATCCGAAACGGCAACGAAGTTTACCCCGTGGGTGGATAATCCTGTAGGACGTCAGCCATCCATGCCCCCAAGTCCGTAAGGCCGCCATAGCCCAGCTTTGCGGGACCAACGCCAGAAGCTCCTGAATAGCGGGCCAGTGGATCTGGTTGAGGAAGGGGTGGTAAGCCGTGAAGAGCGGGGTTAAGTGGCGAATCAGCATAGCGTGCAGAGGTTTGTGCATACACATATTCTGACCCAGTGAGCGAGCAGCCGCACGTTGTAGCTTGGGTCTTCGTGTCGTAACCTGAGCTTCCTCACGAATAGCCGAGCGAGCGGCGACGAGTAGGGGCTCCTGAGACCTCACGTGGACCAGCTCAAGGTGTTCGACGAACGCAGGGGATTTCCAGAAAGCTGGATAGACACGAGAGCGATCCATAGCAGCCAAAGGGATAGCATCAAACTTCCCCTCCACGACCTCTCTGTGCCAAAGCGAAGCCGTTTGCCGCAGCAGCCGCAGGTATTTCTCATAGCCCTGGAAGGTGTGAATAGCAGCACGAAGGTGAGCAGCAGTAGCATGGGCAGCCCACGATGGGATCTGAGGACCACCCCAGGCCGGGAGCTCCAGGACCGATTCGTTCGAAAAGAGGCCGAGGGGAGCACGAAGAACTTGGGCGATAGCACCACGCTCAATGGGCAGGAACCATTCGGGCATAGGAAGGAATTGGGCAACATAGGCCAAACAAGGGTAAACCCGCGTGCGGTATAAGATACAGTTAGTACAGACCGACGCAACCCCACGTCCCAACATCCGAGAGCGAGATCGTGCCTTCATGAGCGGGCCCCTCCAGTTCATGTCGACCGTCGCATCAGGGCCCAAAATCATCCCAAGATAAAGTAACCACCCCTCAACAGCAAAGCCTGACCAGGCACCCGCGATCGAGGCCAGCTGGGCCTGGGTCATAGTTTTCAGGGTTTCGGTCATGCAGCCAACGAGAGGGACCAGGGTGCACTTGCTGATCTTAATCTTGAGGCCCGCAATCTTTTCCATGACACCAAGGACCCGCACCAGGATACGCAGAGAGGCCAGCTCATACAGGACAGCACCTAGGTCATCGGCACAAGCACGGCATATCCCCAGCCGACGATGCTCGATGCTCCGCTCGAGGTCGGCCAGCATGGGAGAGGAGGCGAGAGCATATAAAGACCCCGAGAGACCACAGCCCTGGATGATGCCCGAGCGGATCCAGAAGATGGTCGCGTAGCGTCCCCCATCATGGACCACACCTTCCACTGCCAAATACATCCATCCCACAAAAGCAAGAACCTCGGCGGGGAGCCCAAGAGAGCCCAACAGTTGTAGCAGGAAGGCCTGCGACAAGCTCGGAAAGGCCTGCCCGTAGTCGAACCCGACGAGGACAGGAGAACGGCGCTCAGCAAGGGGATGTTGAGATGCAAGCCGAGCATGGACATCGAGCTCAAGCACGTTATGGCAGAAATTCCGTCCTCTGATGAAGCCTCTCTGGGAAGCAGGTGCCACGGCTTGGACGACAGGCTCGAGGACCCGATTCATGACCGAGCTCAGGATCTTAACGTCGGTGTTTCGCAGCCCCAGGACCCGTATCTTATCAGGAGACCGAGAACAAATCCCAGACGGCTGATCTGAGTCGTCAACACCTTTGGGGAGAAACGCCTGGAGGGTGACGCTGGCGGAGGCGAACAACGACTGACCTTGGCATAGCCACCCGAACATTCTGGCCAGGTGCTGGGCGCCATAGTCGCACGCCGACCAGGCCGCGTAGGGCAGCCCGTCGACACCAGGAGCAGAGTGACGGGCACGCCGGAGAACCTTCCGAAACATTGAGGTCAGAGGACAGTGCAGGTCGATGTCGGAGGCCTTGGTGAGGAACCTATCGAGGTACTTCTGGGTCATGACAGGGTGGGGCTCTTTCTTGGAGAAGACAGGGGTCCAGTAGGCCGCCAGGGCCGCAGTGCGCTCCCGAACCTCTGAGATGGGGCCCTCTGGGGTGTTGACCGCGGACAGTATCAGGCGCTTCGAAAACGGGGCCCATATGGAGGCCTTTCTCTCGAGAGCACGCAAAAGCGTGGCCGAACTAGGCCGCCAAGCAGAGGAGGAGCCTGATGGAGCACGATCAGCAGCAGCAGCAGCAAGTTCTTTTTCGTAGACCAGCCGATGTACTCCAGCAGCCCACTGCTCGAAGGACGGGGCGTGGCGCAGCGAGACGACCTGGCCGTCGACCGTCAGGGCGTCGGCGGCGTGCTGGGAGGTCTCGATGAGCTTGAGGGCGAGGGCAGCGTCTTGACGCCACACAGCTCGCGCTATCCCACGAGCAACCAGTTGCAGCGTCCCAGGCAAGTCAGGGGCCGAATAGAAGAGGATGTTGCGGGCCTCCCTGGCGGCCTCCTTCATCATGTACTTGTAGTGCTCTGTGGCCACAGGTGGGCTCCATCGGAGCAGATCCTCATCACTATCAGCAATCATTCCTCGGAGTCGGCGCTGAAAGGCAACAGAGGTGAAGATGTGCTTGGGTATGGGCCGCTCAGAGGCAGGACGCGCACCACGAAGTCGCAGCCGAATCGAAAGAGCAGCATGATCAGAGATGCCCTGGGAGCTCAGGTGCTCAGGCGTGTCCACCGTGTTGACCTCGGTCATGAGCTGACACATCATCCAGCCTGTGGCAGAGCAGAAGAAGCGGTCGATGATGTTGATGGAATTGGTGAACTTGCAGAAGTGGGTAGCCGCTTCCGAGTTAACCTCCATCATCTTGCCAAGTGTAGCAGCCCAAATTGGAGCATGAACCTTATGATCGTGGGTCTGCTGCCGCTGTACACCAGTAGGTCGGTGAAAGATAAGAGAAGAATCGAAACTGTAGTTGAGGTCCCCCAAGACAACCACAAAGTACGAGAGTGGGTCATCAGCAGCGCGACGCAGAGCACAACCGATCTGCTCACAGACAGATTGTACCTCACCCTTGGTCAAGCCGTGATTGTGAACGTTGAAGATCACCAGCTGTGTATGCCCAAGTGCCACATCAACACGAAGCACCCTGCCTCTGATCAGAGGCACCGCACAGCTACTGACCGAAGTAGATGAGAAAGGAGGAAGAATGACTGCAACTCCCCCAGAGCCGCGGACAACCTCTCCAACGTCATCTTCACAAAAGCTACTGTGGACAATGGCCGTGGAAGAAAGCCTTGTCACAAAGTCGTTCAACTCAAATCGATCTGCATGCACTTCTTGGAGAGCCAAGATGGATCGCCCAGGCTGCAGTCTGCTTAGGTAAGATAGCTTAGGCGAGGCCCTCGCCCCACCAAATTGAAGAAGAGCACGTGCATTCCATGTCATGAATGTGAGGCTGGCTGTGATCTCTCCGCCGACCTGCCCCACTGGGAGCACAAACATACTGGTAATAGCGTTAAAGACACCACTGGGTGGCCGTCGGCGCAGCGGCGATGTTTCGAATGGCTCCCTGAAGGTCCCGACGGTCAAGGCCGAGGGCGCGGATCCCCACGTCGTTCCAAGAGAGCTCAGGTGGTTCGTCACCTGGCCGTGGGACAAGACGAAGGATGTCGGTGTAGTCAGACTTGAGAACGCTCCGCTCCCGATCGACATACCACCTCCTCTGACCGTCAAGCTCCATGAAGGAAGAGCGGACCTTACGGAGGAGCATCTCGCCACGAACTTGTTTCGGCGACTTGTCAGGACCGAAGTGAAGACGGGCTGGGTCAGCACCTTGAGCCGGGCACTGGAAGACCCGCCAGGCGCCGTCCGTCTTGAGGTTAGCGAGGGCCTTTTGCACACGGCGGGAGGCAAGTCCGATCGGCCCAGAGAAGCAGACGGCAAACTTTTTAGAGGGGAGCGGCGTGAGGGCCTTGATCGTGTACGAGTCGTCCTCAGAGAAGTGGAGCTCGCCCATGAAGGAGTTGACCACCTCACGGACGCCAGCCAGACCGACGAGCTTGGACGAGACCACAATGACCTGCATCGGATCGATCTCGCGGTCGAAGCCAGGCGGGGCAGGAGGCCGCGAGGGAAGCTGTCGGTCCAGCTCATTCTGGCGGCGAAGCTCCTCGACCTGCTTCTGCAGCTCAGCCAGCTGAGCGGCGTGGGCCTCGATGTCCCGCTCGGTGTAGTCGACGCGACGGCAGAGGGCATCATGCTGCTCTTGAAACTGGCGTTGCATAGTATCGAACTGTGGGCGCACCGATGCCATGACCTGCTGATCAATGGAGGTGTGCTGCGAGGAGAGCTGCTTCTGCAATGTGGCGAGCGTGGCCACGATAGGAGCGTTCGACTGCTGGACGGAGTTGGTGATGGCCGTGGTAACGATGTTGTCGAACTCATTGCGCAGCTGCAGGAATCTCGCGGAGATGTCGGCATGGTAAAAGGCCCGAGTGAAGGCGGCTTGCTCCTCCTCATCACCACAGTCAACAGCACCACCAGCAGCAGCCTGAGCACGCGAGAGAGCGCCAGTCCCCGCCGCCGCGGCCCATGGGTCGAAGAGCCCAGCAGCGGGGCCCTGCGGGGTGGCGTTCGGGTCGGGGCGCATCTCCTGCGACGGGAAGGTAGCGGCCATCTCCAGGTCTGCAGCCACTTGTGCCCGCTTGGCATCATCCCACACCTCGTAGGGCATAGCCTGAGCCCCATGGCTGGAGGCAGCACCCCGAGATGCTCCCTGTGCTGCAGGGTCGGGGCCCCGATGTGAGGCAGCAACACCAGGAGAAGGTGGGACGTCCCCGCCAGAGCCACGAGTACGGCCAGCACGGCGAGCACGGCGAGGAGGCTCAGGAGCGGGTCCAGCGTTGCCGTGGGAGGAAGGCCGAGCGCGAGCGGCACGACGGGCACCTCGGCTGCCACCGCTCCGAGAGGCAGAGCGGCGGGGCTCCTCAGAGGAGTCACGGCCACCAGAGGAAGCGATCTCCGTATCAACATCATCACCACCATCGAGACGATGCACGGCATGGTGCGGGCGGTCGCAGGCGGCAGGGCCCATGGCGCCTCAGAGCGCGTCGTTGTAGCCAAAACTGGGAGCGTGCTGGGGCGCACGACAGGAACGGGAGAGGCGTCCTGGCCTCGGAAGGTTCGGGCCTCCCTGTCGCCTGCGACAAGGCTGAAGCCCCAGGGCAGGTTTCAACCTTGAGCCAAAATGGCTACGGATGATGAGGATGAGGAGGAGGAGGAGGAGGAGCAGGAGGAGGAGAGAGAGAGGGAGGAGGAGGATGAGAGAGAGGAGGGGAGGATGAGGAAGACGACGAACAGAGAGAGCGAACCCACGATGTATCAACGATGCGGCAATACACAACATGGTCCCAAATCCTCGTCTATTTGGTCCCCGCGGGCACTTTTGCTCACTGTGCGAAAAGCCTCCCTTGAAAGGCGAGCGCCCCAAGAGGCCCCCTGGAGGCCACTCGGAGGGTCTCCGAGAAGTCCCAAAAAGGCCTCACCCGTGTACCTCCTTCGCTCTTCTGGGGGTCGGTGGCACGGCGCTAGCCTCTGGAATCAGAACACAAGAAAGCTCCAGATGCTGCAACGCGGCCCGACGGCGCTCTGGGGGCCCTCAGACGGCCAAAGGCGCCCCCGAGACGCCCCGAGAGCCCCCCACGAGGCCCCTAGGAGGCCCCTAGGGGCCCCCTAGAGGCTCCCCAAAGGCCCCGATGAGGCCTCAGAACAACTGGGCTGTACGCGGTCTGGACGTGCACCCCGCGAAGCGAGAGGAATCAAACCATCCCGTGTCTGGGTAGTCTCAGGTACATCTACTTGCATGCCCCCTGTCCGCCCCCCCCCCCCCCGCCGCCTTTGCGAACAACGCTGGGCCGAAACGGCGTGCAAATCTTAAGTCCCAACGCCTTGCGCGAAGTCCAGATGTCCGTTCGGGCCTCGCCACCCCCTCCCCCTCCATGCAAGTACGCAAGCTCGCCAGAAACTGGAACAAACTTCAGATTGAACAACTTTCTCCCTCTGAGATCCCCTCGCTGGGTCCCGGCACGGCCATCAGGACGACTTGGCCGGGGAAAGCGGTGGAACTTCTGGAGTCTCCGTGCCAAGGCCCCCGCCGTCCTGATTTCTGTCAAAACGTCGGCCCCCAGAGATCTCGACCGACTCCCTGGTGGCTCAGCTCTTCACGAATTGGCTGCTTTTTGATAGTCTCTGACGAACGAACAACACACACCCATACCCATAGGAGGAACGTTGGGAGGATGACTGGCTATGGGTATGGGTGCGGGTTGTCGGATCCTGGGGGGCGCTTCCTTTCGAGCGGGGGCCCCCATCCGACAACACGCACCCAATAGCCCCCTCCGCCCCACCAATGGGTATGGGTGCGTGTTGTTCGTTCGTCAGTCTCCGGGCCAGGCGAGGGCCCTCGGAAGCAGAACATGTTCGTGGTTTTCGCCATGGCGCGCGGGGCCTGGCATTCGGGTCACGGACTCGGGGCTGCGGCGGCCCTTCGGGACGACCTCTGGGCACCCCCGGTGCGCCCTCGGCGAGGCGCAGCTGCCTGGGAGCACCCCGCGGCGGGAAGACGCTGCAGAGACGGAGGAGGAAGAGGAGGAGGAGGAGGAGGAGGTGGAGGAGGAAGAGGAGGAGGAGGAGGAGGAGGAGGAGGAGGGAGGAGGAGGGAGGAGGAGGGAAAGGAAGAGGAGGAGGTGGTGGTGGTGCTCAGTAGTCGACAGCCTCGGAAGGCCTGCGAGGGCCGCGTGGCGACCGCCTCGGAGGACCTGCGAGAGGTCCGCACGGGCGCCCGACCGCTCTTTCTCCTCGCGCCTGCTTGCCGGGCCTGGGCTCTCCGGAGGGGCCCGCGCTCCGCGCCGAGCCGCTCGGCGCTCCGCCGCGGGGGGCAGCCCGAGCACGCCCGGGGGCGCTCGGCGCCGCTCAGCGCCAGAGCTCGCCGCAGTGCACAACGTCCTCGGGCGTCAAAAGGGGCGGGGGCGAGCAAGAGCCTGAGATGGGCGGGGGGGGGGGACAGAAACGTGCGCCTTTCATGCCCCCTCTTATTTTGGGCCCCCCCAAGGGGGCCCTCGAGGGCCCCACTTGGGGCACGGAGGGCGCACCCTTCTTCATTGCCCCCCCCCCTCATCGCACCCCCCCTTGGCTCGACGCCCGACGTCCGCCAGCGACCGGCCCCCGGGCCGCACGGCGCCCAGCGACGGGGCCGCGCGGGCGTCCCAGAAGGCGCGCGCGGCCTCGAGGGCGGAGGAGGCCCCAGAGCTCCGACGCGTGGAAGGAAGCAGGGCGGAGCTTCTGTTTGTTCACTGCTGACCGGACTCAGCACGGGAGCCCTCGCCCGGCCCGGGGATCGTGCAAAGGGTGTTAGCCCGAGTGGGCCCCAGGCAGATAGTAACTGTGCGCAGAGAGCGTGCACGCTGCGGGTGGCAGTGGGCGGCAGCTTGGGCGGCAACACGCGGCACCTTGGCGAATCCGAAGCGTACCCACACAGCGCACGAGGCGGCAACGACGCAGCAACGAGGGGGCAACGGGCAGCAAGGGACGGCAACGTGGCGAATCCTCAACAGATCCCCATAGGCGGCAACGGGTGGCGACGCGGCGAATCCTCGGCATACCCACTTGGCGCACGAGGCGGCAACGACGCAGCAACGTGGCGGCAACCGGCGGCAACTGACGGCAACGCGCGGCAACGTGGCGAATCCTCGGCATACCTGCACAAGCGGAAACGGGAGACAACGGGAAGCAACGTGGCGGCAGGGGGCAACGGGCGACAACGGGCAGCAACGCGGCGAATCCTCAGCATACCCCCGCAGGCGGCAACGGGCGGCAATAGGCAGCAACGGGCGGCAACGTGTCGAGTCTTCGGCATACCCATCCAATGCCTTTTCAGCTGAAGTAAGAGGGACCTCACTTCGTGGACGCTTGCCTTGACCATGTAGTCACATCGGATCCGCCCCCCACCCCCCTCCCACAAGAAAACACATGATAGCGTCTAGAGAGACGCCCCCCCCTGGACATCAGCCTCTCTAACCATGGGGGGGGCCTCGCCTCTCCAACGGAGGGGGGAGGTTCGAACTGCCCTCCCCCCTGTGTAAGGGGGGCGGATCGAACTGCCCTCCCCCTCCATCCCCCTCAAGAGAACACCACTTGTGCTCGATCAAGCGCTACTAGCTGGATCCAACTGTAATAGCGACGTAGTCGGGCTCGACCCAATCCTAACCAGATCCTACTATAGCGGGATCCAGCTGTAATTGAAAACTACAAATTACGTAAGTCTCGATCAAGCTCTAAAAAAATCCTATGATCCGCGATCTTCAGGGGAAGGGGGTTAGGAGGGGGGTGGGGAGCGTGCGCTAAATTCCCCCCCGCGGGGTCAGCTCAGCTCTGCTGGGGGAGGGGCCTGGGTAACTCTGCCGGGGAATGGGGAAAAATCCTCCCCCTCCCAATCTTGCGATTGATTTATCCATCCCGATTGCGTGGGGAACGGTCCTGGGGACCCCCCCCGGAACCGGGGGGACGCTCCAAGAGGTCTCCAAGAGTCCAAGAGCACCCCCAACAGGGCCCCAGGTGGCAGAATTCACCGATGTTGCGTTGGTCTTTGAACGACTTTGGCGTTCTCGCCTCTTCGGCTTCCCGGCACTACACAACGGCCCCTGATGCCCACAAGACCGCCCCAAGACGGCCCCAGAGGCCTCCAAGAGGGCCCGCAGACGGGCCGACACCCTGGCAGTAGCAGCACAGCGCAGGGGCCTACCGTGCCACGGACTAGGCCTGAGGAGAGGTGGGGAGGGAGGAAAACCGCGAGGGCGGCGATTGCCGCAATAATGGCAGTTGAACATGTGTTTAGGTACGTTGGGCCCTCCTCTAGGGACGCCGTTGTTGGCCGAGGGTCCCTAGAGGAATTCTCGTTCCACTCCAGCGGCAGTTGACGCCGTCATGATAGCTGGGGGTGGGAACGCACGCAGCTCCTACGATGGAAACTGCGAGGGGTGTGAGGCCTATTGGCGGTCCTCACGGGTGAGGCCCAAGGACGGTCCTCACCCAAGGGGTGGGAGGGGGGGGGCGGGGCCCAGCTCCCGGAAGCGGATGCCTGACAAAAAGGAGCCGGACACATGGGAGCCTCAAAGGGGGGGGGAGGGCCAGGAGGCGGCGACGTCTACGCGGGCGCACTGGTCCTGGGAGGGGGAGGGCGAGGCAAGGCCCCAAGCACGGGATGGCAGGAGAGAGAAGGAGAGAGGGAGAGAGGGAGAGAGGGAGAGGAGAGAGAGAGGAGAGAGAGAGGGAGAGAGTGAAGACGGGGGGGGGAGAGAGAGTGGGAGGGATGGGGCATAGCACGCGTCCAAGATTAAGAATGACCAGTATCCTGTTGGGAGGAAAGGGTCGGGGAAATACGAGGCACAACTGTGTAATAAACACTCTCGACGTACTCGATAACGCGGATGATGTGATCATTCCTCCAAGCCCCAACCTCCCAATCCGACGAAGCTGTCTTTCTGAGAGATTGCGTCCGGCTTCTCAGGGGCCGCGGCAAGAGATCCTGCTCCCGGGAACCTCAATGTGGCAGGCCCGGCTCAGGGTGGGGGACGTCGCCCCGGAATCGGCGATATACGGCGCCGATGGATCGGCGACCGGCCCACGCGAGCTCGTCCGCGCACGTTCCTGGGCGAGGCGGGGCTGTCGGGTCCCTATCGTGAGCGTTATATATATATATATATATATATCATATCATATTCGGCGTTTCGACACTGGGCGGAAGGGGGGGGGAGGGGGGGGGAGTCTGGCTTCAGGCCTCTGCTTAATGCGACTGTTTGCAGCAATGCGCCCTGTGGGGGAGGCTCCACCCGCTCGAAACAGGCGCCAACAAAAACAGCCAGGCTTGGGGGGGGAGGGGGGGGGGTACGAGGGCCCGCGCCGATCGGCAAAACAATGAATAGGAAAACGATCACTATCGGCGAATCCTTGATGATTGCCGATGCATCCCCTCCGAACCTATCCCCCGCTCATGTTGCCCCGGGTCAGAAGTCCAGCTCTCCGGCGGCCGCTCGGGAGGATTCCAGCAGCCCCCGAACGCTCTCGACGAGGCGCAGCTGACGGAAACTGCTCTGGGCCTCCAAAACTGCCGAAAACGTGAGAGAAATAGCGTTGCCCTCGAGAGGAAGGAGGACACAAAGGGGAAGGGCAGCTGGACTCGGCTTCGGCGGGCGATCCGCTCGCTGGCAGTCCGTCTCCAGCAGGCGCTCCGAATACGCGCTGAGGTCGCAAGCCCCATCCGCCCTCGGGGACCGGAGGGTTCCAACGGGGTTTTCGGGGAGGGGGTTCTCCAGGGCGGGTCCCCCAGGGGCTTCGCACCTCTGTTTTGACACGGTTCCGAGGCCCCGGAGGGGCTCTCTGGAAAACCCCCTCCCCCAACTCCCCCTGTGGAACCCTCCGAAGAGAGGCCTGCGCCCGCTGCCCTGCAGGATCGGGAGCACCGGGTGCTGCCGAGCGGTCCACCCCAGCAGGGGCATACGAGGTGGCAAAACATTTGGGCGTCTCTTCCATGGGAGCCTGCGTGGCCCCAGCGCTGTCCGATTTGGGCCTGGTGTGGGCCCAGATTTGGAACGCAGTTGCGACCAGATGTTTTTTTTGTCTTCCCCCACGGGAACAATCGCATCAGCATGGTCTCAGCTCGCGCGCGTGCCGTGCGCATCACGAGCCGAAGTGAGAAGAGATCGCGATGCAGACCCGCAACCCCAAGTCAGAAGGGTGAAGGCCGATGCCGCCCATGACGGTTCAACTCCTCCTCTGGACAGAGCCACGTGCGAACGGAAGGGCTGGAACGCAGTTGCGACCAGATGTGGATCATATTCGCCTTTCACAAGCGAGACGAGAAGAACGACGAGGGGCACGAGGAACCACCGGACGGGCGAAGAGGAGCAGGAGGACGGGCCACATGCGGTCAGAATGCAGCCCACATGCAAGGAACGCGGGCTGCAGCGCCGCCGCCTGAGGCTCCCATGCGCAGACGTCGAGAAAGAGCGCTCTTCGTGGCGTTTCCGCAGCGCGATGAGGTCTGGCGGGGGGGGGAGGAGGAGGAGGAGGAGGAGGAGGAGGAGGAGGAGGAGGAGGAGGAGGAGGAGGAGGAGGAGGAGGAGGAGGAGGAGGAGGAGGAGGAGGAGGAGGAGGAGGAGGAGGAGCACGCAAGGAGTGGCCCCAAGCAGGGGTGACCTTTGGCGCGCGGCGTCAGAGGGGCCGGCGGGGGGCCACATCCGAGCGCGCAGGCCAGTGCCCGGGGGGGACTTCTCTGTGATCGGCTGCACGGCAGAGTGACCCTGAGCAGAGGCGACCTCTGGTGCGCGACTCTGGGGGCCGCCAGGGGCCACATCCAGGCAGGAGCGCGAGCGTCGCGCTCCACGAACCTTTTGGCGATCGGGGGGCCCCCTTGGGTCCACTCCGGAGGTCACTCCGGCGAGAAGTCACTCCTGCGTGTAGCCGGTGTAAGCCCGCGTGCGGAGGAGGAGGACGAGGAGAAGGAGGAGAAGGAGAAAGAGGAGGAAGCGGAGAAGAACGAGGAGGAGGAGGAGGAGGAGGAGGAGGCGGAGGAGGAGGAGAGGAGGAGGAGGAAGAGGAGGAGGAGGAGGAGGAGGAGGAGGGGGAGAAGGAGGAGGAGGGGAGGAGGAGGAGGAGGAGAGGAGAAGGGAAGGACGACGACGAAAAGCGACAACGTCTGAAGACTCCATTGCCGTCAGTGCCTCGGTGCCTCAGGAGGAGGAGGAGGAGAGGAGGAGGAGGAGGAGGAGGAGGAGGAGGGGGAGGAGGGGGAAGAGGAAAACGAGGAGGAGGAGGAGGAGGAGAAGGAGAAGCGGCAGCGTCTGAAGACTCCGTTGCCGTCAGTGCCTCGGTGCGGAGGAGGAGAAGGAGGAGGAGGAGGAGGAGGAGTGGGAGGAGGAGGAGGAGGAGGAGGAGGAGGCGGGATCGATCGATCGATCGAGCTCTCGGGCCAGTTCGGTGCTACACTCGCTCTGGGCTCTGCGCTGTTTTGCAAAATCTATTGGCCTAGCTGTGATGTCCTTGCTGAAAGGGGGTCGGAGGCGTCAATCGACGCTCGGGCCCTACCTGCACCGACCTCCCCCACGCAGTGTGTCGGGGGCAGGGTAGTACCCGCTTTTACGAGTGCCCTCTCGCTCGTTCCTCTTCCCCCCTGCTCGGTCCTCCCCTCCCCCTTCCCTTCCTCTTCGGTTCGGGGAGGGGCAGGTCGGATCACTACATACTACTCAGGGAAGCTCTGGCCTCGGAGTTGGTAGAGGTCGGGAGTCTTGGTCGACGGAGGAGGAGTGGGGAGGCGGCCTTCCATGACTAGCATTCTGAAACGCTCGCTAGTTCTGAAGGCCTGCGGGATCGCACGCGCTGCATCGGCCCCCGAAACTGGACAGAGCTGGACTGTTTTTTCGTGGAGAGGAGGCGGGAGGAGGAGGAGGAGGAGGAGGAGGAGGAGGAGGAGGAGGAGGAGGGGGAGGATACGATACGATACGATACGACTCGCCCTTGGGGTGGCGGGTAACACCGTACAGCACATCAGTCTAGGGAGGCTCGTGCACCCTGATCTTCACCTCTCTCAAAAGCAGACCTGCAAGCTCCCAGAGACGCTCAGGATCTCTCGAGCCTTCTGGGTTAAATTTCTGAGTCCAGCCTATTTGGTCCCACCTAAGGACGCGGCCCCGGGCAGACCTAGTGTAGGTCTTGGAGGAACGAGAGCTCGGGGAATCTCACACAAGCCAATTTTTTGGGGAGACCCGGTCAAAACCTTGAGCCGTCGACCGAACCGCAGGCCAATCGCTCTGATGACGCTGGAGGTGGCTCCACCAGCTGAGACACGCCACAGCATGAATTCTACTCCACTGGGTCCGTGGCACGTCCCTGACCTAACGGGCTCGCCTAGCGTTGTACACCTCTGGGGCCTCTTCGAGGCGCTTGCGGATCCTACTCATCCGGCAGATCATCCTAAACTGAATGGCATCCAATCTCTTGGCTGCCTTGTTGCTGAGGGCCCACGAGGCACTAGAGGCTCTCAGGATTGCGCCTACTATGGAGTCCAGCTCCTTGACCCTCGCGTTGATCGGAATCAAGGCGTTCGTCAAGATTTTGGCGCTGAGGAAGAACATCTTTCTTATGGTCAGCTCCGTTTTTGCAATGTCTTCCTCGGCGCTCCCAATGCAGCAAATGATGGGCCCTACGGAACTATCCTCCACACGTGGTTGTCTGAGTCTCTGAAATGCGCCTCCGGATACCAAGTCGAGGGGGAAGAGGAGGAGGAGGAGGAGGAGGAGGAGGAGGAGGAGGAGGACGAGGACAAGGAGGAGGAGGAGGAGGAGAACGAGGATGAGGATGAGGAGGACAAGGACGAGGAGGAGGAGAAGGAGGAGGAGGAGGAAGAGGAAGAGGAGGAGGACGAGAAGGAGAAGGAGAGGGAGGAGGGGGAAACGAGGGGGATGATGATGATAATGATGATGATGAGGAGGAGGAGGAGGAGGAGGAGGAGAAGGAAGAGCAGGAGGAGGAAAAAGGAGGAGATGAAGAAGCGGCAACGTCTGAAGACTCCATTGCCGTCAGTGCCTCGGTGCCTCAAGAGAAGGAGGAAGGAGGAGGAGGAGGAGGAGAAGGAGGAGGAGGGTGATGATAAGAATCAGGATGAAAATGAGGATGAGGATGAGGAGGAAAAAAAGGGGGACGCGGCAACGTCTGAAGACGTCATTGCCGTCGGCGTCTCGGTGACAAAGGAGGAGAAACAGGAGGAGGATGAGGAGGAGGCGGAGGAGGAGGAGGAGGAGGAGGAGGAGGGAGAGGAGGCGGAGGAAAAGGAGGAGGGGGAGGGGGAGGGGGCGGAGGAGAAGGAGGAGGGGGGAGGTGGAGGAGGAGAAGAGGGAGAAGAAACGTCAAGGTCTGAAGGCTCCATTGCCGTTAGTGCCTCGGTGCCTTAGGAGGAGGAGGAGGAGGAAGAGGAGGGGGAAGAGGGGGAGGACGAGAAGGAGGAGGAGGATGCAAAGGAGGAACGAACATGAGGAGGAGGAAGAGGAGGCGGAGAAGAATGAGGAGGAGGTGGAGGTGGAGGAGGAGGGGGGGATGGGGGGGGGAGGAGGGGGAGGAGGAGGAGGAGGAGGAGGAGGAGGATGAAGAGGAGGAGGAGGAGAAGGAGGAGGAGAGGAGGAGGAGGAGTTGGAGGAGGAGAAGACAGAGGAGGATCGCACGCCACTGAAGGGAAAGGAGGGGGGGGAAGAAGTCCAACGGTCCACAAAAACACGCAGGGGGGGCTTATCGAAGAGTACCTTTTTGTCACCCTGGCAGGAGGCCGAAGACCTGCTAGGGGCCAGCGACAGGGCCCTCCCGGGTATCAGACCGCTTCAATGTTCCTCCAGATCATTGTCTGGGGTTCTCTCGTGCAGCTTCGGCCCAGGTGCGGCCGCTTCGGACTCATTTGGTCTAAACGCTTGCAGGACATCTGCAAAACACAAAAATGCATTGCGGCCCAGTTCGGGCCTGATAAACCTGTTGAGGAGAAGGAGGAGGGAGGAGGAGGAGGCGGAGGAGGAGGAGGGGGAGGGGAGGACTAGGAGGGAGGAGGAGGAGGCGGAGGAGGAGGAGGAGGAGGAGGAGGAAGCGGGCAGCGTCTGAAAACTCCTTTGCCGAGGAGAAGGAGGACGAGGAGGAGAAGGAGGAGGAGAAGGAGAAGGAGACGAGGAGAAGGAGGATGAGGAGGAGAAGGAGGAGAGGAGGAGGACGAGGAGAGGAGCAGGAGGGGAGGAGGAGAGGACGAGGACAAGGAGAGGAGGAGGAGGAGGAGGAGGAGGAGGGGAGGAGGAAGGGGGAGGAAGGAGGAAGGAGGAGGAGGAGGAGAGGAGGATAGGAGGAAGAGGAGGAGGAGGAGGAGCAGGAGGAGGAGGAGGAGGAGGTGGAGGAGGAGGATGAGGAGGGTGGAGGAGTAGGAGGAGGATGCGGAGGAGGGGCAAGAGGAGAGGGAAGAGGAGGATGCGGAGGATGCGGAGGAGTAGAAGGACGGGAGGAGGAGGAGAAGGAGGAGGAGGACGAGGAGGAGGAGGAGGAGGAGGTGTGACTCCATCGAAGGATCTCCCCTGCGTGCAGCCTGAGGCTGGCGAGGAGCAGAGGCGACGACCGGCGGGGAGCAGCGCTGCGGCGGCGGCGACGGCTCCCTGAGGGCTTCCTGAGGGACCGACGTGCGGGGATCGAGCTAGACAGAAGTTGTTCCCATCGTACGTAAAACCGCATCCCAGAGACAATTTCGAGCACGCAGAAACGCATCGAAACAAGGTCTGTCCGACACGCTGGCGAGTGCCAAACGAGTATCACCTCCCAGAGACCGACTCGGGGTAACCCTCGAGTTTCGATATTTGCTTAGTGCCTGAAGTTCTTCCTGGTGGCCAAGGCTAAAGTTTGTTTGAACAAAATAAAACTAGACCAATCGAGGCACATCCAGACAGGCCTCGGCGGCGAGCGAGGGGCAGAATTGAGAAGGAGAAGGTCGTCTGATAGGGCAGCGGGGCTTCTCAGAAGCTCTCCAGCCCTCTAAGCAGCTTTCTGTGTCGTCGGAAGGGCTTCGATAACTTCCCAGAAGGCCGGGAGACTTCCGAGCCTTCTGAGAAAACCTGCCCGTTCTTACTTCCCCCCCCGTGCTCGCCGCCGAAGGCAGAGGTAAATCCTGGACAAGCGAGGTCATCCCCGAGATCTCCAGGACGATCTGGAACGAATCTCGGACATTCGAGCGCGAGTCGAGGGACAGATGAAATCGTTGAGCCCTCAAGGAACGGTGGCAGAGAAGGCTGCTCGCCCGGGCGTCTCCCAGCGTAAACGCCGCCTCGCCCAAGCCGTCCTCGGACCTGGGGCGTCGCGCGGGCGCATGCCGCCACGCAAGCTGCTGCTGCCGCCGCTGCGTCTGCGGACGCTGCTGCCGCGGAGTATCCGCTGGTGGGCCTACGTTGCATTCGATGCCACCACTACACTTGCCATCGCTCGGACGTGACGTCCATTCCCCGTGCATGTTTGGGTTTCGTGCGCTTGTTTTTCGCAAGATGATCCGAGATGCTCCTCGATGGATCCCGCGGAGAAAATGCACACGCCCGAAGGATGCCAAATACAGACCAAGCGCGGCTGACCTATGGCGGTGCTCTGCTGTACGAGGCGCCTGGTATGTAGCGGTGGTGGTCAAAAGTGCAGTCAACCCGTGAAACAAGGATGCACGATGAGAATGCAAGGGCCTTGGATGGCCATGTCGACGTTTTTCGAACAGGGTTGGCCAGCGAACGCTGCCAAGGATGGGCCGAAGGGGCAAGGATGCGACGGTAACCCTGGAAAGTTGCTCATCCTCACTTCGCGCTTGGACTTTTAGCCCACGAAATGTTGTCTTTTGTTATAGGTTGTTTTTTTTTGATCCGCAGCTGCCAAAAAATGTTCCTGATCAGAGTGCGAGGCAAATCAGGGAGAAAGGGGAGGAGAGGAGGAGGAAGAGGAATACAGCGTCGCGGAAGGGCAGGTGGACCAGGGAGGGCAACATCACCCAGGCGTGGCCTGGGGCTGGCAAGGGAGCGTGGGAGCTCAGCTCAGCCACCCCGAGTGTGCTGACTCGCCGGACATCGACACCAAGGCGGGGAGGGGGACAGGCCCGCGCGAGCGGGACATCATGCGCAGGTGGACCATCACGGGCTTCTGTGCCGACAGCACGGAGGACTAAGGACGGAATCGGCCTTCCAGCGAACCGCCCGCCGAGCATGAGCAAAGCGTAGCGCAGGGCAGTCAGCACTCCCAGAGCACCATTGGAGCCAGCGCCTGTTCAGCCTTAACGCCAGCGCCTCCCCTGACGGGTACTCCACTGACGGGCACTCTGGCCAGCGACACGGCGAGTCCAGCCCTTCCCGACGCGGGCAGTGTTGCCATGCCCGATTGAGGCCCGAAACTGGCAACTCTCAGCGGATTCCCAGACATATCCTGTAGGTAAATACTCAGTGCGATGCCGCTGACCACCGCAAAGAGCCCCACCCAGACAATATCGGCACCGATCCAGGCCACCCAACTTCGCGATGCGCGACGCTCGCCTGTCTTCGCACACTCTCGCGCAGCACACATGGAGGCTGGCCGCGACGCGCGAAGCTGAAGGGGCCCAGGGACACACAAACAAATAGACACACATCCCAGGTCTCGCCATGTTTTCCTTACTTTCTGGATGCTCGTCTTCCCCTCCACGTCCTACATGTTCAACATTTGCCCAGGAATCGAAGCTGACTCGCGTCTGTGTGTATTCCCCCTCCCGAGAAGCGCAGTGGTCTCCGCGCCCACCCGGGATGATGACCTGCAGTCCTCGTGCTCCCGAGCCCGCACCCGAGCGACGTGGGTAGCACGCCCCGCCGCGGCCAGGCGCGCCGCCTCGAAGGTTTTCTTCTCTGCGCGTGAACTCGCAGGGCGGAGGAGCCCGGAGCGTCTGCTGGAGGCCTGGATACGGACACCAGCACCGGCACCAGGTGCTGCCTCGACAAGGGGAAGATGGTCCTAGATTTCGGTGTTGGAGGTCACATTTCGGTCACCTTGGAAGCCAGAGTATTACCACCATCGCTGGGATCGGGATCGTCTTCCCTCGGTGGAAGCAAACCGCCGAGATTGGTGTCGGTGTCAACCTTTCGGCCTGCGAGCCTGGGGGTGCAACGTCTCCCAATGAACTATGGCCGCCGCCGCCTACGGCCACTGTGACCAGGGGGGAGCTCTACCGCTTGCAAGGCGGCCCGAGCCAGACTTTGGGCGGCCTCTGGGTGGAAAGGGGCCGGGTGGGTCGGGTGGAAAGGACGGAGGAAGGGGAGGGGGGGGGAGCGGTGAGCCCCGAAACGCCAGCGCAGACCGATTTCGGTCGCTGTTGCGCCGGGCACCGACCTGCAACGACGGGTCAAGACTGGGCCACCGCCTCACCTGACGCAAAACCGCGAAGGGGGTCAGACCTACACTCATCTTTCTATCATAAAGAACGCTGGAGCAGGACCGCTGGACCCACCTCGCGGGGCGGGAGGCTGGGAAAGGCTCGAGACGCTGAAGCTCGGGAATCGGGAAGTGTGTATCGTGCCGCGCCGAGGCGTGGTGGGCCAGAGCCCGCGGCGCGACACGCTATGCAACAGCTCCCGACCGTGGTCCTCACCCCCCTCCCCTGCCCGATAACTCGGGCCTCTGGCGGCCGTTCGGAGCGATCAGGGCGCCCCCAGAAAGTTTTCCGGCGGGGCAGAGGCTGGAAAGCCTGTGGGAACCCGTGGAACCAAACCGCACGATTCGAACGCCGTCGTCGTCGTCGTCGTCGTCGTCGTCGTCGTCGTCGTCGTCGTCGTCGCGGTCGTCGTCGTCGTCGTCGTCGTCGTCGTCGTCGTCGTCGTCGTCGTCGTCGTCGCGTATGTTCGTCGCTCGTTCGGAGCGCCCCCCCCCACCAGGCCGCGTCGGCGCCCAGGGACGCGGCGAAACTCCGCGCCCTCCCGCGCACGTGGCCCTGCCCCAGCAGCAGCAGGGACCCGCCGGCCCCCGCTCAGACCCGGGGGGGCACGAGCGGCCAGCGCCACGACCACGGCGACAACGGCGACGAGGACGGCGACGACCACGGAGACGACAACGACGACCACGGCGACGACGGCGACGACCACGGCGACGACAGGGACCATGACGAAGACGGCGACCAACGACGACCACAGAGTGAGGCGGAGAAGGGGGGACGGATGGACGGAGGAAGGTGGAAGGTGGGCTGGGGAGGAGGGGCGGGAGGAGGCAATTAGGGGGGAGGGGCAAGAATTTGTTCCCTGGCAAGCGCTAAACTGTATTCAACAGGCCGATGCGACAAGAATCAGAAGATACAGCTTATACAGAAGTGTATCTGCATACAGCCCAGCAAACATAGAGATGAGGCAGCGGGAAAGGAAAGGTGGGAGTGGGAGGGGAGAGGAGAAAGGGAGATGGGGGAGAAGGGGGGCAGAGGGATGAGGCACGAAGGAGGAGGAGGAGGAGGAGGAGGAGGAGGAAGAACGACGAGGCTTGGCTAGAGAGGACGGGCGTCCCAAATCGAATCGAAATCCGGTCGAATCGTCCTGGCGAGCCCAGGGCGCCGACTTGCCTCTCCGCCGGCTCCCCCGCCGATCTCCCGCCGCGGGCGAGGATGCGCCAAGGGCGGGGCCCAGCCAGGAGCGCGCCAGGTGAAATAAACCTGCTGCACACGACTGCCCACCACGTGGGCGCGACGAGGCGTTGCGTGCAAGGCACGAGGCAGTGCTCGACGTGACGAGGCAGTGCTCGGCGTGACGCGACGAGGCAGCGGGTGCTTCAGGGAGCCGAGCGCGGCGAGGCATTGCTTGCAAGCGCCGTGGTCATTTCACACCCTTTTCGATGCGCTGGCCCACGGGCCGCACGAACGGCAATGGAACTTTCACCGTCTGCAGCGCTGCAGGCGTCAGACAGGAAGCCTTGATCGATTGTAAGTTCCCATCAGGTTCTGAGGTCCGTTCACTGGTACAGCGCAGGTTGCACGAGCAAAAACAAGTGATTATCCCACCCTGCACAGGGCCCGCACGCTGATGATCGATGTCAACAGTAGCTCCCATGAGTTCTGTGGTGTGCGCTGGGCCCCCTCTCCCCACGCCTCCTCCCAGCACGCGAGGCGCGCCAGCGGCGGTAGCAGAGCTATCGGAGGCGCCGACCAGACGCGCGAGAACGCGGGCCCGCCGCCGACCCTGGGAATCCGCGCGGCCCTCGGACGGATTGCGCGCATGCCCACGCTGCTCTCTAGCGATGTCCGCGAACCGACCCGAGGACCGAAACGAGCTGGACGAACTGGGCCGATCCACGAACCGAGCGGACCGAAGCGAACCGCGCCAGCACACGACGCGAACAGAGAGGACGGCGAGGGCCCGAAAGTTGTCGGGTATCGCTGTTCCTTCTCCTCAGGGGGGTAGCGCGCCGAGCATGTACGCGGATCGAGGTGAGCTGCCGAAGGGGCGCCCCTCCGCTCCAACCCCTTCGACACGGCGACGACGACGACGTCGGCGACAACGACGACAAGGACGTCGATGACGGCGTCGACGACGACGACGACATCGATGACGATGACTATGTCGACGACGGCGTCGATGTCAACGACGTCTACGACATCACCGTCGAGTTGTAGGCATGCCAAGGGCGCAGGTGGGGGTGCCTTGCCTGAGGAAGTAACTCCTGGGAGGTCTTGGCAAAACGATTAGGTGGTGTTACCCCCGACTAAAGGGCCACATTGAGCCGGACTAGCACAGAGTAAGCCCGAGCTGGAAGGCTGGGATTGATCCGAATTGAGCGGGATGTAGCGGCATTGTATGGGATTATGCCAGACGAGGCTGGCTTTCGATGCTGAGTTCAGCCTTTCAGGGGTTGCATCCTAAGATGCCGAACGGCCTCTCCCGTCCCCCCGGCGGGCTGGCCCGGGCCGCTCGGACAGGCACAGGTGCCGTAGCCTCCACGACAGCGCGCCGCTCTCCTTCCAGCCTGCGGCGTCGTCGTCGTCGTCGTTGTCGTCGTCATTGTCGCCGATATCGTCGCCGACGTCGTCGTTGACGTCGCCGTCGACGTTGTCGTCGACGTCGTCGTCGTCGTGGGCGTCGCGTTGGCGTCGTCCTCGTCGGCGTGAGAAAGAGGATTGAGCAGGCGGGCTCGATTGAGCGGGGGCACTCATTGGCAAACAAAGTTGGCTGCACCCGTGATCCCCGCACTCTCAGAGCGATGCCTGTCGCGCACCGGCTCGGCGAAAAGCAACTGCTTGACGGGTTCCTCTTCAATGGTCCAGGCGGCGCACCCCGAACTCGTGCCACGCCTCACCGCCCGAACGAGGTGCTCCAGGAAGGACGGCAGAGATGCTGTTGCAAGGACGAATCGGGAAGATCGATGATTTCCCCACGAAAAGATTAGCTCGGGCATGTCCCCCTACAGGGGGATATTGGGCGAACCTGTAAAAAATACCCGCCAAAATGCGCCAGAATGCTCAAACATACAAAAAAACGTCGTCCCCCGACGATTCTTGGACTACTTTTGAATACTCCTCCTGTAGAGGGACAAGCCCGACTGAATCCTCGACTTTGAAGACCTCAAGAGCCTCAAGACGTGAGCCTCGAGGCGTGAACCTCGACAAACACGACGTGAGCCTCAAGACCGCTGGCCAAGCCGGGAACGTCACACGAGACGCCGCCAAGAGCGCAGAAACGCCGCTGGAAGAAGG